CAGGCCATTGTCATCGAACTGCCATTGCACCGTTGTCAAACTATATAAGATGTCGACCCAGCGTGGCCAGCTTTCTATCCTAGCGACTGTAGCGTTGTGACTGTATCTAGCGTTCTACGCAGCTATCTCCCGCCTGATTGTATCACTGTCTTTGGCTTCCTCGTCCTCTCCTGCCCATCTTCCGCCCTCCTGCCCACCTTTCGCCCTCCTGCCCACCTTTCGCCCTCTCCTGCCCATTTTCTCGCACTGCTCGCCCTCCTCCTCTTCCCCCTCCTCGCCTTCCCTTCCACATGGCTCATCTGCCGTCGCTCCGGCCGTCCAACGGCACGCGAGACCCTCGCTGTATCTGTCCGCCTGGCTTCCAACTTCTTCGTCTTGAGAGACTTGAGGGATGCGGAGACAATACTCCGGGGGGCGGAACCTCGCAGTTCTTCCCACCCGGGCCACATGCCCATCGTGACCCGTTGATGGCCATCCTGCAGACGCTGCATCGGCTGGACACACTGGTGAAGAGACTGGCCGACGCAAACGTCGATCGTCGAGTACGTGTTGTGGCACAATGGCGCAGGTCAGGCGAGCGAAGCTTATGCGGCAATAGGACATTCCATCGACGGAGGAGCCGATGGTGGCACCGTCCACGCTGGAGGCACTGGACAGTGGCATGCTGACGCCTCTATCCATGACCTCGCAGGAGTGATTGGCTGTTGGCGTTGCGCGAGGGTGGGGTGATGCGCTGTGCGATAGTGTCAGATAGTTTCAATACTTCTCCGGACCTGTTTTCCATGTCATGACGTTGCCGTGTATTATCGTCAGCTGAAGGATGGCTCAGCAAGCTCGTGCCTGGTAGTTCCTGGCTTTGCCTGTGTGCCTGGCTTTGCCTGTGTGCCTGGCTTTGCCTGTGTGCCTGCTTTGCCTGTGCGCCTGGCTTTGCCTGTGCCTGGCTTTGCCCGGTTGTGCCTGACTCTCATGCCTGTTCGTGCCTAGGACATGGCACGCTAAGTGACGCCAGGACAATAGACTGTCTTGGCTGCAGAGGAGGTGGAGGCCAGGTGGAGTCAGGCTCGACCTGGGATTGGCGCGTTGGTCGTCGGTCGGTCGGTCCTCGACTGCAGCGTTTCACCGTCGCTTACCAACGTGCCCAGCACATAATCGCCGATGACCCGGAGGAGCGATAGTCGTGCGGTCAGCATCAATTTGAGACGGCAAGCTCGGCGTTGGCGTTGTGCCTACGGAGACGCTGCCGCCAGTGCCAGTGGCGGCACGTCCAGACGTTTGATCGTAGAAACACATGTTCGCCACAAATAGCAAGCGAAAGGACTGGAGCTGGGAGGACCTATGTTCGCCTCTCAGGAGCGCCAGCTTGGCGTACATTTCTGTGGCAAGCAAGCGGGCTAGGTCGGTGCAGGCGCCGCGTTGTCAGGAGCCTGAGGACGGCGCTTGCCTGCTGGTAGCCCCGGCCGAACAGTGCCGGGGCTTCTGGTAGGTGGGCGCGTGTCTAGATTTGCGCCAACGTCTGCCGGCTAGTGATAGGCCATTTTGCTGGTAGCCAACGGCGAGCCAGAGATCCCGCTCGACTGATGCCTAAGCTACCAGCAATGGTTGCAGCAACTAGAGCGGGGGCGTAATTCAATACTAGCCGTGACACGGGAGTGGGCAGTCTATTTGCAATGATAGATCCATTAGCAATCTACCAATCCAGGCACAACCCTCATGTCTCACATGGAAAAACACACATTGCCTTCAGTGACGTAGGCGCTGCTGGTTCATGCGCCCGCCTGCTTCAGTCAGCATGAGGTGACGCGAAACGACGAAGAGGCGGATCTCCTCCTGGAGGCCGTCGATGTACGCTGTGGACGCCGAGCACAAGTCTTCGTGTTCTTGCTGCCAGTACGTGATGACGCCGCGCAGGTTTTCGAACCGCCTGCTTGATGCCGCCTTCTTTATAGCCATGGCCAACCCGCCGCGGCCCCCGCATATCGCACGCCGCACGTCGCACGCCGTTCGCTGGCCTGCACACCCCGCTCCGGCGATAGACCGTCATCGTCCAGGCCCGCGCGACTACGAGATCGACTCATCAGGCATGCTGGGCCTACTGCAGTGGCGTCCCTGTATGCGTGCGTGGCTGACCAGTTTCACCACGCGCTGTGTCTAGTATGCTACGTCTACGCGTGACTTGTAGCGCGTTTCATCCGGTGTTCTCATAGTTGATTTTTAAATTCTAGCAATGAACATCTCTCAATTCAGGTTGTCAAGAATCAACAACAATCAGTGTGGAGACTGTCAGTTTTGATGTTAGGATTTGACTTTTCGTCTCAAACGACGCACACGATATATAAGAACCCTACAATGTTCAGATGCATTTATATTTGGCTCGACAGTTTTCACGATGGCCGATGAAGGCTTGTATGCCACTTGGAATGATCTCATGAGCCTTGATCCCCCATCACCAGAGAATCATAACGAATATTTCCGTCACCACGATGAAGGAGTGCAATCACTACCCCCATATATCAAAACCGCATATGTTGAAAGTTTGACCTGGCCTGATTACAGAAATGTTCTCAAAACTGAAGGGCGTAGCACGTTCAACTCATGGATGTTGCTGATCCAAGCTTGTCCATCAGCAGAACATGCTATTCATAGCAATCGCTCCATCGAAACTGCTTTCAAGGAAGTGGACCAAGTTATCACCAACAGTCCAGACACAAGTTTGTTACAAAGATGCGCCTACATTCATCTGGCTCAGTTAATGTCTCATCTTACAAAAGTAATGAGAGTGAGGCGTCAAACTGGAACACTTCAAGGCAGAACTGGTAGAGGAGACGCCAGCAATGCGCTTGACACCTACATGCAGGCCCAGCCTTTGTCAGAACACTCAGTAACCTTAAGGACACTACTAAGGAGGCGAATCCGCATTGGAAGAAGATACTCCGCCATTACGAAGGCATCGCTGCTACTAGTTCTGATGTTCGGAGCCAAGGTAGATTCTCTAATGCAGGTAACTTGCGCTCAAAGTCCTTCTTGTACTGATAAATTCCCAGAAAAGACTTTTCTGTAACACAGAGAGCTTTGTCAGCGATTGCCGAGACAGCCTTGATGTCTTTGCCTGTCGATTTGGTCGAGGCTTCCATTGACATGAACAAGGTGCACACTAAAAGCATAGAAGGAAGGCTCGATCCTAGTGATTTGGAGGCTCGCGCCCACGAATTTGAAAATCGCTGCCTAATGACATAACTAATAATGATCGAGATAGGTCTGAGTGTGCGAGGGAAGTGAGAAGCCAATGTCAAGACATGGTCTTGCACTGTGACGGGTGACGGGCTTGAGTGATGGGTTGAGCTTGCGTGATTGGGTTGGGTGATGAACTCGGATGATGAGCTTCAATGATAGATTTGAGTGATGGATTTGGATTTGAGTGATGGATTTGAGCGATGAATATTGATTTGAATGATGGATATGAATTTGAGTGGTGGATTTGAGTGATGGATCTGAGTGATGAATATTGATTTGAGTGATGGATTTGAGTGCTGGATTTGAGTGATGGATTTGAATGATGGATTTGAGTGATGGATTTGAGTGATGGATATCGATTTGAGTGACGCGTTATACATATCTCTTTTCGACGTATTGCGTACTGGACGGCAAGAAATTCGGGACGGTCTGGTATGTCAATTCTCTCCATCACGTCCTCCCAGTTGACATCGGCCACTTCGACGCGAACCATGCCCTTGAAATCCGGATCGTTGACGAATTTCGCGAGGTATGGAAGACTATGCTTTCCCGTCTGCTCGGCCGACAGGACATACTGCGGTCGATAGCCCAAGGAGGAGGTGCGACCGCTGGCGTCAGCTCGGCCGACATGGACAGCGATGGTGGTGTTGGCGCCTGGGTGACGCAAGAACTGCGTTTGTCTGTCGCCACGGCGTCGTTGTCATTCAGCGGAAGCAGGGTTTCCGACTTGCCTGCCGACGTGGCAGACCCGCGACGAACATCTTCTTGTACTTGCACTAGTTGGCCTGACACATGGTTAAGAGCCTTCAGGCAATATTAAGATTCAGGTCACCTACCGTTAACGAATCGTTTAGGCCCCCACTTTAACGGCGCCTAGTCCCAGCCCGTTCGTATGCGACTTTGCCTACTTAACCCCCCCATCTCGCATCCAGGACCCCGAATCTCGAAAAATGACTACTGCAACTTGAATCTTTCAATCAGGGATTTTGAAGTATGGAGAATGCCCCTGTGTACTCAGCATGGGCAGGGTCTGGGGAGGGGGGAAGTGCGCAGCCGTCGCCGCCGTCACTTCTCTCACCCTTTCCCCCTCTTCTCATCTTCATTTCTTCGCCGTAATATAACCATCACACATCGATACACCTAGACCTTCCAATAATCGCTCTTTTGTTCCGTTATTAGCGGCATCCGGACGCGCTGAACCTTTTACCTTGCAGAACGATGTCAGCGATCTCAATACCCGCGGAACCTTGGCGATTTGCCGGTGGCCGCGTTTGGCTGGACGAGTTCGTCGAACAGAGCCATGACGATACCCTTCAATACTTGGAAGGATGTGCTTCTGACCCTATCGAAGATTCTCGTAAAGTACACCGAAAGGCGGAGGCGTACAGGAAGTATGCCCGCCGGCTCTGGAACATGTAGGACTGCTTTGACCTTGAGGATCGGGGCTTATTCATTTGAGGACATGCTAACTTTTGAATTGATTTACAAGGTTTTGCAAAATAGTTCTCAGTAAAGTTGGACCTAGCGCAGCATCTGATCCGGAGACAATTGTGCTGGACCTCTGTGCAAACCGACCCTCCGCAGAAGACAAGTTCAGGGCTTTCTTACGACACCATGTAAAAACTTCGATGCAGCTGCGCCCATCTCTGGGCCCCGAGGAGTACGAATGGGTCCGAGAAGTTGAGTCTGCAATCACTGTCACCGAACTCTGGAAAGCCTTGGTACGCGACTTCGACAGTGGCTTCTTACAAATCAAGCGACGCGAGGAGCCCGAGAAGACCTCTTCCTACTCGCTTAAGTTCACTGATACCTCGCAAGGTAGCGGCTCTGTGTGGAAAGTGTCGAAGGTCTGACTATCTTTACTACTCAACATCTCCCGCTGAACACGAGATCCTAAGCTCTTCCTCAGAGCCAGCGCTAATACGCGCCTGCGGGCAACTTGGCTTCGTTTGAGAGCATTCACGTCGACTTTATTGTGTATTATCGTAATTGTGGCAACTAGCCGTTCCGAATTTCCGGTGGGATCCGCTACATTAGCTAGTTCTATTTGCTCGTATCGAATTTCTGTTAGAGCGCCGGGTCTGAATGCACCTATACTGGCAAGAAGGATCATGAAATGAAATGTCAGACGTTCTGTGGGTTTACAGGTCACCACCTCTGGCCTGGCCCATAGCACAGAAAGAATTGCAAGAGCATCTTCGCCAGTGACTTCTTGCTTGTGAAACATTTGGCCACGTGAAAGCCCAAGTTCGTTTGCAAGGTCTTCTCGATGATCGGTACGTATTTAAAATTTATCCAATCCAGGCTTTTATGCACACAAACACCTCATCATCCCCACATCAGGATATCGTTCTCAGTTACATTTGCACCATGTCCCATCGTCTGTGTCTTGAGTCTGATAAGTGCAAAGGCTATCAAGGATGATTCGTTTGATGTTGGCTTCGAGTCTCTCAACGCACTTCTCCCTAGCCCAACGCTTGGCGAACTGAAGTACCTTCCAATTCACTGGAAGCAAGGTATAAAACAAAATCTTATCTTCAACATGTCGTATCACCGTATGTGGGAGATTTGGAGCCTCTGCACCTGGGCTCTAGGGTGCCGCGACCCGCCTCGCCCGTACGCCATGCGCATTGGCAGCGCTGGGCGGTTAGACGGCAAGTGACTGCCCAATCGTGATTCCGAGAGTACACGAGACAAAAGCTGATAATTTCAAGGTATGCTTACCCCCGCTGTGCGTAACTTCGTCTTCGAAAACTCGTCTGAGGTGTTCGGAAAAAGCTATCTGCCTAATCACCTTCGAGGTCAGCTGCCGAACTTCGCCCTTGGGTTATTAGCTGGCGATGACGAATCTCTTTTCCGACTTCTTTGTAACGCCTCGCTGAGAGTTGACGGCCATGCTCCCATGACTCTAACGAACGAGGAAAAGGCAGCGTTTGAACAGCGGCAAGACCTGCGCACGATCAGCACTAGCTTAGCAACCGACGGTCATGATCAACCATTCGGCTGGCGTGAATAGTTACAAAGCCGAGCTACCTATATTCGTCGTTCTTTGGAGAAGCAATCAAAGGCGTTGAAACGCAAGACGTACTTTGACCAGGTTGACAGGCAACAGGCCCTTGGAAGCAGCGACACAAGGCCCCACCCGAAGGACCAGATCACGTTTGTTCAAGAAGAATCCTACCCGATTCTAGGTACTACGGCTATCAGCTCTGTTTTCAAACACTTCTCAGAAGCGCAAACTCTGGCTACAACTATATGGGAGACTTATTCCAGTTTACTCGTTGCATACCTTCGCCACCTTCCGGCCGACGTGGTTCATTTGGCCAACGAGGCTCTCCAACACACTGAAACGCCAAAACTCGACGATTCTTCAGGTCTTCTATCAACTACTGAGCCCCCGCCGCGATTCAGGGCATCGGCCTCTATATGCTGGTGACTTTTAGGCTGCGGGTCATATGCCCGCCGCCCGAACCTTACTCGTCACATGAAGGCTCACGTGCGTGATGGCTCGTTTGGAAGGCCTTTTGAATGCCCTGAATGTCGAAGGCTGGGTTGGCCTCCAAGTATCATTGAAGGAATTTCGCATTGGAGTGCCCATATCCATGTTCACCACGACGAACGAGACGCTCCAAATGTGGTATCTGACTTGTCGTCACCTGGAACCCCCTTCCCATCTGGATCGACTAGGATCGCTCATTGTTTCTTTTGCGATCGAAATTTTAGATCAAAAGGACTATACATCCATTACAGCACTCATGAGAAAGACTCTAGATGGAAGAAGTCCTTCGAATGTCCGGAATGTAAGCGGACCGGGAACACGACAATTGTAGACGACTTTGCGGACTGGCGACGGCATTCAGATGGGGCGCACGGTAATGGTGTGATGCTTCTAGACGAAGAGGCTCATAGCAAGGCCGAGAAAAGGTTTCTAGAGGGCTGCAAGTACGAAGCGATCCTCAAGGGAGGCACCTCCTGCCGCCAGGGTTATGCTTTCATCTGGTCTCCTCAGTTTTCACGTGGGATGGAAGGCTCTGGTGTCGTCAGAATAAGGAGACTAACGAAAGGATTTTCTTTACACATTAAGGTCTGAAGTCTCGTATGCCTTCATTGCCGGCGTATTTTACTTGATAACGAAATGTAAAATCAAGCACGCAACGTCCTTGCTTCTCCTAGAGCAGATACGAATCATCAGTCTGTTGAGCATTTTGTCCGAAATACAAGACAAGGGCGGCCGGTATTAGATCCATTGCTTTCGTCATAACTAGGCTGTGTGATGACATTCCTAGTGTGCAGAACGCCATCAAGCCATCCTACCAACTTCATCTACACACACACACACACACGTTTATTACGCCTGGTGGCCTAGAGCCAATAAGGCACTGTTTGCTATTGTACACGGTCGCTTCCTCTAATCTGTCCAAATCTCCCAAGCCCATAATAGGTCATCTTTCCGCACTTGCTTTCTCGTCTTCTGTCTTGCCGCCGGTTTCTCGTGGGGTTTAGATTGTATTGGCAAGCTGCTTGAAGGCTATTCTTCAAGTGTTCAGAGTCCTATCTACGGCGACTGAAGCGGCTCTTACTGTTATTGACACGAGGTGTGGGTGTTAAGTTCGGTTAGTAGAAGAAGGGGGATTTCGGTGTGTTGGGCCCCCGCAAGGGATCACACGTTCTCCAGTCGGCCCGTGGCCTTCGCAAAGCGAATCGTAGCTCGGAATGCTTTCATTTCCGGCTTCCAATCATCAGCATCTGATGTCGTCTTACCTCCCAAATGGAAGGAGATGTTGTCTCTTTGTGTGCCAGGGCGCATGAGTGTCTCGGCGCGTTGTGTTGCCCATCGTGTGCATCGGAGGAGAAAGTGCTCCACCGTCTCTCTCGCTCGTCCGCATGCGCATTGGGCTGAAGGTACTGCCCTAATTCGGAACAGTGAAGCGTTCAGTCTCGCCATGCCTGTCCTGAGCTGGGCCAGCATGCTAGCATCCATCCAGGAAAGGTTGTCGTACAGTTCTCGAGTGTGCTTGCCGGGTAGTGCTATGTCAACTTCCTTCGAGAGTTTTCCAACATTATCTGGTAGTCGTCTTTCCACACGTAGTTTGCGTCTTGCAGCGCTGAGGGTGGTGGATCGCATCTTTGGGAACTGTTTTTCAGGTGAGGCGCCGTCTCGGCTGGCCTTGCGTGCTTCTCCTTTCGCTTTCTCCAGGTGGTCGTCGCGAGATGGCTCGGAAGCCACACGACTGTGATGGCGTTCCCAATTTCTCGCAGCCGCGTGATCGCCTCATAGATGCAGCGAATGTACTCTTGTCCAGACTGTTGTCGGGGGTTTCGAAGTGTCAGCACCGCGGCTTTGTTGCTTGTCAGTACCGTCACGGTCTGCCCCCTCAGCTGCGGCAGAAATCGCAACGCGTATGCTACCGCTACCAGTTCTCCGGAAAATGGGTTCTGATCGGTCCTCATGCCGTGGGTGAAGGAAAACGTCTCAGCTTGGGTGGATAAGCGTTTTATTCACTAAAACGACGACACTTCCAAAGGAATCCTTTTTATTCAATTACAAGCGAGGCGAGATATCCACGCCGCTATTCTCTCAACGGAATTCAGGGCTCTCCATCACCAATGTCCCTTCCGTGTTGACGAAGCCAACAGCATCGTCATCCAAGCCCTCCGCCTCAGAGAGAAAGAACGTAGCCTCCACAACATAAAATATCCCATTGTATATATTGTTTTATGGACCATAACATGCGATGTTGAAGGGAGGAGCATCGCGCGCAGGCGACCAGGGTCATAATTGAAGTACCCATGTACGGTAGTGCTCACGCCTCTGCCACCTCGAGGAGGGAAAGGAGTGATAGTCGCCATAGTTTGCCATTCGGAAGACACGAATATTATCAGTCTGGATTCTCGAGAGTTTAGACAAACATCCGGTAAGCATGGTTCATTCGACTTACATCGTGTGCCGTGGGGTAGTTGCAGTCGTGCTGGAAACCGAGGATTGAGACACACTGTAGAGGTGATTCCGAAGGTGATGGTTGAAAATTACGGTGTGTTGGAGCGAGGTCGTTATAACAGAGCCATCACTGGTGAGATAACAAGCAATTCTTTCCGCCATTGAGTCCTGGTCCACTGTGAAAGTGCCATTTGCAATTGCATGGTTGAAGTGTCATAGCGTAGTCAAGATTAAAGGCAAGCAGGAATATTTTCGATGCGACTGAACAACAAGATACTGCTTAGTGAAGGACCCATTAGGTTCTTATAATCTTCGTGGCGTAACTAGACCTTTTCCTGTATTTCCTCAGGAGGTGGCGATCACGACGCCGATCTGACGCTCGCCGTGCCGAGTCCTGTCGATTACGCTCACTTTTGGGGGGATCCATCTAAAGAACCCTGTCCTGTCAATTTGGCTCATTTTTCGGTCACTTTCTCCCAACCCCCCCTCCTAGGACCAGCTTCTCAATGGGTCAATGGGGTGTCCAACGATTGGCGTATGTCTAATGTGGCCCTCATAACGCATGAATGGCCAGTTTTGAGGAGGTCGACCAGCTGAGCATGCCTTGGCCACTAGCATGTCTTGGTTCGACGGGTGGAGATCCTCGTGGACACAGCAAGACTACCATGTAATCCCCACCCCACCCCCTCTTGCCATCTTCAATACGCAATCATGGATACGAGGCGTTTGGGTCTCGTCGGTTCAGCCGCTAAGACTGGGGTACCGGGGTGGTACTGGAAAGGTTCGCCGAGATGAATAAGAAAGGTGTGGAGACAGTGAGGGAAGGACGCTTGGACTGCGGACCGTCGCTAGCTCATCAAAATCCAGCTAGCACCAGCTGGGAACGTTACCTTAACAACACCCTACCGCGTCGCGATCAAAGTCTGCTTATATCAACTACCTCTTTCCGATGCTGCGCATCGTAAGCTGTTTGGTCCAGACCTCTTATCTCTCTTGATTGTTTTACAATGGATCCTCATATTAACACCACCTACCTACAAGCTTTCCCAGATCATTCATCAGAATCTACTGAACCGGGTTTTATCCTCGGATTTTCTTACAATCCTCTGGAGGCAGGCTTTCTGAGTGTTTCCAACCCTAGCTGTCATCACTTTGAGATGCATGACTCCAGTCAGCAAACTGTACACAGCGAAGAGCAGTTTCCCGCTCTGTCGCCGCCCCTGCAAGATCGGGAAGACTTCCCCAGAACTCACCAACATCCGAAAAGGATTCGCGGAAGGCCGAGATTAGATGAAAACACTATAAATTCCGAAGAAGTCAGTTTCATTTCTTTTCACGCGTAGTGATCGAGCTAATAAGATAGCGCCGACGCACTCAAATCCGAATCGCTCAGCGAAAGTATCGAGGCAACAAAGAAAGCGCATACGAAAGATCGCAGGCCACAGTCACAAGACTAGAAAATAAACTGGGAAAGCTGAAAAATCACTGGATCGTCTTGAAAAACATACCAGCAGTCAGAAGCATCTTGGAAAAATACCCTGAAGAGACAGGACAAATTGATTCCCTGTTCACACAATCATCAGAGGATCATGACTCGAGTGTAGTGGCGGGAGACGGTCAGACAGATACTGTACATCAGGATCATTATACGGAGTGCAAGAACTCGAAGGCATTGTGAGCAATGTTGTGGACGATATATAAGTAGAAGTCGGTGTCAAACTGTTGCAAATGAAAGGATACTCATCCCTCTGCACGCTACTTCCACGTAAAGTGAATGTACTGGTTAGAAACTGGGGGGCCTCCCAATGAATGGAAGACTAGGAGAGACCCTTCTCTTCACACGAGAAAAGTACTCGGCCATTGACCTTCTTCTTCTTCTCTTCTTACATAGCTACTTTCCCAAGCAGTCCTCATCAATAATAGCTCCTCGTCTCCGAGGTCGGGATGCGGGACAAAGCATTTTGGCCCACCAGCGACGTTGGAAAGATGCGCACAAAGTGAGACGTCAGACTGTACTTCGATAAAGTCATTTGGTGGCCACCCACCCTGAAGAACCCAAAGAAAGTCACTTTGTCCGCCCTCGTATGACTGTACAATTTCGTCAAATTTATCTTGAACTTCTTGTGCAGCCCCCTAGCCTAATCAGCAAGACTTCTTGAACAGGTCAACAGTACTTACGAAGATCAGGCTGGCAAGTTCGCATGCCTTGAACAAAAGCTGAGGAAGTAGGTATTCGCCGTGCTGTGGGTCTTCTTCACCCTGCAAGTTTTCGTCGCGGGGTTCGGGCTCGAGGCGGTCGAGCCAATCAGTGACCAATGTGCGATAGTTCATATCTGGATTAATTCCAGGCTCTTGAGAGGTTGCTATTTGGTCGACCGAACTTGCATTGGACGGAGGAGGTGTTGGTGGTCTTCTTCGAATCGCACCGTCAGAACAGATCGTCGGTCCAGGGGATGCAGGCGGAGTAGAGAACATTTTGAGTTAGGGCTCAGAGTGTAGAGTGACAGTGAAGTAATGGGAAGACCAAGACGAAAATATGTATTTCACTGTATCTCATCGGCTGTCTCTGGAGTATTAAAGGAAGAAGAGAGACAACCATCTGGAGCTGACATTGACTGACCCGACCGGCATGTTCGTCTGCAAAGCTCGTGACGTCGCGGGTGTCTAGTAGTGGCACGGGCTTCTTTCTTTCCTTCTTTACACGGACTTTTCTGAGTCTGACTCGTTCAAAATGCCTTAAATTGTTGTCGGATTTCTCGTGACCCCTGCTACGTCAAACATGGCCCATTTTTGGGATGTTTCCCCCAGATTCCAGCAATGGATCTCTGATTACATGTCGGCTGAGGTCCATATTTATTACGAGATTTCATTGGCTTGATTTCCAATTAAATGGGTCTCCGATTACATATGGCTTGGACTCCATTATGAGATGGCTTGGATGGCAAATCACATTGGTCCGTGCACTATCACAGCGCGGGCACCCAGTACATAGTAACCACCATCAGGGATCCACTCACGCCCGTTGCTCGCTCCATCGATCTGTGCAGTAGTAGCGCGGCAGGTGGAGTTCGTAGTACTGTACATGTACACGTGCTCACAAGCCAAGGGGGTCTCTCTAGTTGATAAACTAAAATCTGTGTTGCCTCCTGAGTCCATGTTGAACCGTCTCCTCCGTTCAGCCAGCACACCAATGATGGGGGTCAGAATCAGTCGAGAATTCGCCAATAATCTGTTGACCGCCTGTGATGGTCATCCTGGCACAAACTTGTGCAAGGAGGCCTTGGCTCAACCCCAGGTACTCGTCACTGAACCCACCCGTTCTTCAGAATGGCGCAACTGACGTCCGCAGTTTCTCCGGTCCGCCGTTGCCTTCACCAAGGAAGTCCACGATGGTTTGTCCCGGCTGCCTCCAGCTGAGAGGAGAGCCTTCGAGTTTTCCCTTGCGCCCTGTGAGCCCAAGGGCCGACACCGCCGAGTCATAAGCAGCCGATCGCGGCCGCCCGGCAAATCAACTGCGCCCAAGGAGGCTGCTATATGGCTGGAAGAGCTTTCTAGTCCTTCAGTGGAGGGACCAAGCGATTCAGATGTACCAGAAACTCGAAAAGCTTTCATCCCCTAGGTCGCCTAAGGAACTTGCCCAGAGCCGAATATGTCTTGTCGAGTTTTATCACTTGCGAACCGAATTCAATAGGAACTTTACTTCCAGTAATCGAGATCCTCTCCTAGCATATCTGAGCAAGCAGCTGGGAAGGGAAATCAACGATGTGAGGCAGGTCTGCAAATCATGGGGCCCGGCAGGGCACCGACTCGCCAAGCTGTCGCAAAGACTGGGTGGCTATGGGGCATTGATGTTTCCTCTCAGCATATCTCGCTCTACGTATGTTGTATCACTATACTTCCTTAGTCATGCTGACCACAACCTAGATTAGAGGTACATATGCCATTTGAAGGGGAAGAGTTTGAGAAGGTTGTCGCGACCCTGGAGCGTCAAGGCGTCTGTAACAACGAATCTACGAACTTCTGCTTTGAAGCAACCCGTGGATTCCTCGATGGCCGGGAATTGACCAGAATGAAGCTCATCACAGCGTTGCGGCAGAACGGGCCACTCGACTGGTTTACGGGCCTATTTGTCGACTGACCACCTTCACAGCGCGATGGAAGCCACCTTCGACACTTTTTAACGCTGCATGGCGAAAGGCCCTTTTTCGTTGAACAATCTCCTTCATACCCTGTACCTTGCACCCTGGCTTGGAATTTCGATCCAAAATGCGCCCTTCACGGTGCCTAGCGACACGGCAATATTCACCGATGATCAAACTGGCTGGGGTCTGGACAATGCTCCATCTTTACGATTATGATGATGACCTTAGTAGCGGTTTCGACATGGCAACCTTCACACCAGGAGCGGAGGCTGACCATCAGATGGCCAATCTCGATGACATCGTAGGCCAGGGAGAATGTACGGCAAGTCAGACAGAGATAGTATTCTACTAGCAGTTTTGTTTCATCCTACAGAAGTTTCAGAAGCACTCTCCTTCAGTGTCGTCTTGTGTATGGTGGCTAACACGCAAATATCGCGAGGCTCCATTTCACCTTCCTTTCGAGCCCGAACACGTAGTCGCTCCCCTCCCTCAAGTATGATGATGTCTCCCACGTGGCATGTAAACCAGGATGGCACGTAGTGTGCTTCATGGATGGGTTTCTCAACTATGGGTCTCTCAACTATCCCTACGCATGGCGACTCTGGCTGAATAGGAGATAGCGTGTTTTCGCCAATTATTTCGCGGCTTCCAAGCTTTGGCCTTCGTAAAACAGTGAAAATGGTGATCCTGTCGTCCTGATTTGATAGCCCACCAGCAAGGAGCCAGATGATTGTTGGCCCGGACAGTTTTGTACGTTGAATGCGAAACCTTTTTTTCTTCCGCCCATTCACGTAGGATAACTGCCTGATTTATCTGTGAGTTTTATGTTGCCTATGGAGCGAAGATATACATACCACTTGCTCATTGCTATACCATAGATCGACCAAGTTTTGACTTTCTCGAGGCAGCAAAGAGCCAGGTAATACCATCAGGTTCGATCTCCCATCTGCATGTTTGAAGTCGGCACTGTAGCAGACAACCTGTCCGGCAAGCGCTTTGATGTTACTCAATATGGCGTGAATGTCCGCGCAAACAACCTTTTCAGCCAGCTCTGGAATCCAACTCAGGAGGTCGCGGATTTCCGCATCTTGACTCTTCAATATGAGCATCGGAAGTCTAGAAAATATGTAAAAGACGTCGCCTCGGTGTCCTTTCGAAAACCTAGTCATCAGTTCGTCCGATTTGCAGGTTGGTCTGTACGCGCTATACGTGATTGCTGAAAGGCGGGGTTGGCAAGATGGATGCCTTGTCACCACGAATTCGAACTAAGTGGATTCTTTTATCGTACAAAAGGATAGTCACTTCCAGGCGATCATTGGCCAGTTGTCAATAACCTTAAAGTAGTTTGGACACTAACGGGGCGGTAGCTGGAGATTGAATGCATCAAATAAGGATTCTGCAGATTCGCAGGTGCAAGTGCCTCCTGAAAGAACCATGCCTGATCGGCGACATGCATTTTTCTTTTTGCTTAAACGGCAATGGCACAGTCTAAATGCATAAATAGGCATAGCGATCCAGTATGCCCTTAGAGGGTATCCGTTCCAGCCCAGTGGCAGTTTTTGCTGTTCGACATAAAAGTACTACGGTGCCCGTCAGCCATTTCATGTCACATTGTGAAGTTGAAATCATCGCTTAGACGATGAGTGAGGCCATGAATCTGAAGATCGGCCGGCGTGTTATCCTGACGATGCTATTCCGCTCTGCGGAAAGGATCGTGGGTGGGACGGGGATGTCAGACGATTTCCAATGCATCGAAACGTCAATAGCATTGAGATAGCAATTTAGACTTATGAGGTGGTGTGAACAATTCGACTAGCCCTGGTGCTGACTGATGGCCTGCGAGAAACCATCATGTTCCTACATTGATCCAGCCTCTTCCATAACGTCTTGCACATTGCTCATCTGCGTCTCATCCTCCATTATCAGGTTAGTAGTGGTTGTAGCGGTTAGTTGACGGAGTGCTTACCGACGGGGTCGGGGCAGGTGGAGGCGGAGGAGGCGGAGGAGGCGGAGGAGGCGGAGGAGGAGAAGGTGTGTTCTTCTGATTTTCTAACTTCATAACCATGTTGTATCGATGATCAATGACTTAGGGACTCTGAAGACTTCTTCTAGAGCTTAACTGAAAATGTGATGAAGAGGATTGGTGGCGCAGATGATAGAGTTAGAGCAGGAACAGAATCCAACGGCATGATAATGTACATCCAACGATAGAACATTGAGAGAGAAGAGCTTATTTTATACCCCGTCGTCAGGTAGGTCGATAGATTGATTTAATTGCCTTATGATCCTCCAGATGAACAATCGAGCACACCCGTCAAGGGTCTCCCCTCACTTTGCCCCGGAAAGCCATGAGCTTGCCAGCAGCATCTCCTGCAGGTCGTCGCATGGACGACCTGTGATGGCCAACAGCGACCATGCAGGCTGTTCAAGCAGGGATCATGTCTGTAGATTGAAAACCACCTCCGCGATGACGACCTCGGAAGGGAAGCGAATAGACGAGGAAGGTCAGGCTAATGGGCTGATGCCGGCTGGGTCATGCCATTATGCCATTGTCGCCTCGACTGAACAGCGATCTGTACTAGCCCTGGACACATGGTCGGCCCCAAGTCAGCCCAGTGGCTCCGTTGGGTCCGGGATACTGACTGGCATCCACAGGTATGACCTGGAAGAACTCCTCGCCAACGGGTCGAGCATCAGTTAAAGCTCATCTCGACGGCCATGAACCCTCTTGTTGAATTAGAGGAACAAACAAATCATCCTAGGCACCATGAATACGGGTCTATGAAACACCAACATAAGTAGCCTCTCATAACAGATGGCAAGACATCAACTTCGCAGTCCCCATGTGGTCTGGCCGGCCGCATAGGAGGCTGTCGAAGGACTAGAGGTATGGTCAAAGTTGAGGTACGTAGGCACGACATTGATCGGCCTCCACGATATCCTTTGACCTAAAGCACAAAGATGTCATGTAGGCGGTCTGCCTCATCCCTGTTGCGACCCCCACGGTCATTGAAAGCCAGTAGGTTGGCTAGCTCGTGCTTGAGTTATCCTGGCCAAGCATGCATCCTATTGACAGAAGTAAACGCGTTTGTGGAACTACGAGGCGATCGCTAAGTGTCACGGTAGCTACTTCGACTCTACAAACGACCTGTGACCAGCAATCAATACACAGTGTTAAACTTAGGATCTTTTTGGAGGTTAAGTATTGCTACCTCGAATGCTCAGCTAGGCTAGAAGCTCCGCGAAGAAAGGCTTGCTTCTGGCTGAGAGATGCAAGTAATAGGCCGATCTAAATCACCCAAAAGACTTGGCCGTCTTGGGTCGGCCTCGCGACCTTTCCTACTTGGAATGCCGACTGACCTTTTGGCAAAGACGATTTAACACACATGAACCCCTATACAGCCCTTTCTCACTTTAAACGAAGGCAGTAGAGACGTTTCAAGTAATGTGAATCTAGCAATATATTCATACATTACCTCTCATGTACGTCGAGGCCCTTAACCCATAAGGCCGATGCTATACCACTATCCCATTACTCCATACCACCCCACTATTCCACCTCGTCCACTATTCCACCTTGTCCACTAGTCCGCCTTGTCCGCTATTCCATCATTCCACTATTCCACCTTGTCCACTAGTCCACCTTGTCCGCTATTCCATCATTCCACTATTCCACCTCATCCGCTACTCTACTACTCACTACACCACCTCATCCGCTATTCCACCTCGTCCGCTATTCCATCATTCCACTGTTCCACCTCATCCGCTGCTCCATCATTCCACTAGTCCACATTATCCGCTATCCCGTCATTCCACTAACCAACCTCGTCCACTATTCCACCTTGTCCGCTATTATTCCAGCAGTTCATTATTCCACCTCGTCCGCTATTCTATTATTCCACTGTTCCACCTCATCCGCTGCTCCATCATTCCACTAGTCCACATTATCCGCTATCCCGTCATTCCACTAACCAACCTCGTCCACTATTCCACCTTGTCCGCTATTATTCCAGCAGTTCATTATTCCACCTCGTCCGCTATTCTATTATTCCACTATTCCACCTCATCCGCTGCTCCATTATTCCACTAGTTCTCATTATCCGCTATTCCGTCATTCCACCACGAGCCGGGGTCGTGCTGACTAACCCTGACACGTTGGTTTGGCATACGTTAAGCCTAGTGACTGTGCTTAACCAGAGCATACCACGGCAGCTGGTCCCAGCTGTGAGCATCTGGACTCAGGCTGGATATGACTAGCCACTGGCGATCCGAAGATACCTAAACAGTGGGCCGACCCGACAGTTTGGGTCGGCGCTCTCAGGCCCGATAAGCACTAGAGCCATTCCAGGGGCTCTCAAGGAGGCTGTGCGGCAGCGGCAACACCTTGAATCATACGATCTGGGATCAATGTCAACCAACATGGAGGGGTTGCGTGCACACCAACTCTAGAGGGGAAAGTTCGCCACTGTCGGGCGAAATGGAATAACGAGGATGATCAATAAGCAATCCCCAATGTGTTTGCATAGCCATCATGCACGTCACTTGGATTTGACCCTGTTCGAATGGCGACAAGGAGGTATTCAATTGGGCTATCAAAGTTCACCCGAGACTCAGGCTCTATCCAGAGAGATTTCCTCCACTCCACGCTCAATCTTCTGGATTTTCGGCGGTTTTGGCACCTTGCGCTGTCGGAGCAGTTTCTCTATCTTTCTTAGCTTGGATTGACGTCCCCTGCCACACTTGGGTGTGATCGGGCGGCCGGTGTGGAGAATCTCAGGACGCTGTCTTGGTCAGTTGATATCCTCCAGATCAATCATGGCTGTCTTACGATGTCTCTCATGGCGGGAGGCCAGTTATCGTTCCGAACCGGCTGGAAGACCTCGTAGTCCCCGCTGGCTCTCTCTTGGGCGATGATGGTGATGTTCATGTCGAAAAACTCGCCATACTCGAAGATCTTGTTATACAAGCTCCGTCCCCGTCTTTTGCGCCGAACCTTTAGTGGGGTATCCATGGTATGTTTCGTCGTGGGTAGTTGGGCTTGTCTGGGTATGCAGGAGGAGGTTGTTTTGAGACGAAGAGTTGTGGTCTCTGTCTCACGGAGAGCAGCACTTTATATCGAGGCGCAACGTACAATTCTGCTCATGGTCGAAAGGAGACATGCCAAAATTGGCCGTTCTACCCCCCCTCGTTATCGAAGATCGAGTGTGGCTGCTTTTAGCAACATCACCTTAGCGACCGAAATGGTACAGGAGGTGGTCCGAGCACTATCTTTCCCCTGAGCGATTGCGGGGGCCACCCGGGGATCCACTCCGGCCGGTAGTGGCAGTTGGGGGCAGTGACCAACAGCATACCCCGCCACATTGTCGGCTCTTCACATGATCTGTCAATGTTGGTCAAGATGCCCTCTCGTTTCTTCGAATAGAACGGATGGAAACGTCTTCCGAAAGGATGCCCGTTGGTGGTTAACGACGACTCCCTTTCTGTCACCACGGCGATCCCGAGTCGGCCTGCCATGCGATATCCGAGCGCGGAACCTCCGTAGCCGCCTTGACGCGTAGCCTAACCGCCGGGGCTATGACAACTTTCATCTCCATCTTCAGGGAGCTTCGACACCTTGAGGCGGCAGGCCAACCTTGCTGCTGCCTCTGTGGAATACTGAGCCTTCCTCTTGAAACACTAGGTTGATCTATCTTTGCAACCGTAGCTTTTCCCAGAACTCATGTCTTCGTCTTGAGCAACTTAAATACTGCTACTACCCGTTGGGGTGCAACGAGGTTGGCAGACATTTTTGGGCATCAAACATACCAAATCCCATCTTCACCAACATTTCATCATGTCAAACTCTAGCCAGCCAGAAGAGACACCAGTGAACCCCACCACCGTCCAGCTTGCACACATGGATCTCGCGGCTGTTCTCAACAACACCGATGCTGATTCTCTCATGTTCGCACCGACAATGGACTCTATATTCCTGCCGGAGGAGGACCAAACCGCCAGCTTCTTCTCTCCTGGAAATTACAGTATGAGTGGAGACATGGAATTGCCAGCCGACAACGAAGGAAACTTTGCAGCCTCATCAGGGGAGCCGGCCTTCCAGAACTCGGCTCTCATACCTTTCGACACGGAGATGCACTCGCCACTGCAGCTTCTCGTCGCTCAAGCTCAATCTCTTGCCACCAGAGTGCAGTATCTGGAGGCTTCGCTTCAACAGAGCAGCGAGACTGTTGGATACCTTTCTCTCCGCCTGGAGCATCTCGCCACATCCGCTCAGAAAACCAACAGCATGGTCGATAAGCTCACTACCTGGTCGAACGACATGGAGGCGCACTACCGAGAGCAAAATCGCATGATATTGGATCTGGTTGGCATGGTACAGAAAGCCGACTCCGGCGTCGGGGATGAAGAATCCCTATCCTCCGCGGCCACTCCCACGATGTGACTTCCTAGGAAGTCACTCACCGGAGATGTGGGCCAATAGCCTCCATCTCGACGACTGCCTTCTCGCACTCCCGACCAATACCCCAGTACGACCCCCAGCTGCTTTCCGCCTGCACTTTCCTCCCGTCATGGGCTCGGGCAATGGCAAACATGATATGAAGGAGTTTCGTGGTTTCTTTGAGGAGCGTGATGGTGGTGGAGAGGCGTTTGTGTGCGATATGTATCTCTCGTTGCAGGATCAACGACTCCTTTTCTAATTTGTGTATTTTTGCCTTGTCTTCGGCATTCTCCATGTCTTCCAGGCGTAGAAGAAGTTCGTCAATTAAAGAGTCCATGATTATCACTGACTGCGTGACAATGGGTGAAGCAGTTGCCGTCCTTGGAGAAACGGGACAATCCTAGCTTTGTAAAGAGGCGCCCAACAGACGCCCCCACGCATCGAACCTAAAAAAGGACCGTCCAAAATCGTCCTCTTATTGACTACGGCCTTGGCTATGTACAGGGGAGCCTTGAGCTCATCGAGGAGAACAGACCGGGTCCAGCCCGGCACTTACGAACGACGGCGGAAAACACAGCAAACAACAGCCGATACGACCAAGACCAGAACGGCCCCAAGACATCCCAAGAAAGGGCCGTTATCCACCTCGAGTGCGTTAACCTTGCGAAGCAACATCGGCACAGAGAACGCCACCATCGACGCCAAGACGAGGGGAACCAAAGCAAAAAGACTGGCCCCCACCACCAAGAGAGTGCTGAGTATTGGAATCCGGGAGAAGATGCCGAGAGTGCCGACATCAACAAGTAGGAGGCCTCCGAGTGTCAGAACGAGAACCAGGACTCTCACAAGAGTTGCGATGAGACATGCGTAAAGCTTGACTTTGAGAACGGCGGAAAACGTTCCCGCCACAGGCGTGATGTCCAAGATGACGTCGAGGGGACTGGGGAGCCACTCCGAGATCTCAGAAGGGATCTTTTGGCAGGTTTCTGCAGCGCTCCCGCCTCCGTAGCAGACCTGATCTGTCCCAACGGTAATCTCGCCAGGAATGCCATCGAGTATGGAACCAAGAAGCCAGTTGGCTGGCTCACAGCAGCGGATACTCGGGTGGCAATGGCAGTGGCAACACTGTTTACCCCATCGGGAAGACTAGGAAGGTCAGGAAGGTCGGAGAATTTGGGGATGGCAGGGAGGTCCAAGGGCTGTCGGGGATCAAGTCTCGGTACGTCAAGTCGAACGGTGACGATGCCCTTTGTGCGCATCTCCTTACTGGCAAGTCCAACCATGAGAAGGACCGCGCTGACGGTCAGCAAGAAGAGGGACACGAGTCGTCTCATGTTGGGTATGATGCGTCACTGGTGTGGCTTGCGGAAAGAATTGCTAACGAGTCAAGGTTTCGAGCTTGAAAACAAGAGCAGGACGAGAAGCCTGATTATATACACGAGAGCGTGCCACGTCTTCCTGTTATTCATAGAAACCCGTCATCCGTTATCCCTGGGTTTTCCTGGAGCTCGTCCAGAATCGGCACAAGTCGGGAGATACCTCGGGAATATTTCATGGCTATGTCCCGAAAATAGCTCTCTCCACGGGCTGCAGACTTCAAGTCACTCTGCAGCTCCTCGGTTCTATCGTAAGACAGTTTCAGCTTGTCGTCCAGGTTCACTCGCTGCTTGACCTCGGCCTCCAGCTGGAGCTTGAGCAGCTGGAGCTGCTGAGACATGTAAGCATTTTGCACCTGAAGTTCGTTGATCCTCGAGGCAAAGCTCAGAGGCTCGGACGGCGCAGAGCTCTAACGATGGTCAGAGTGCAACTAATCCCGTGTCGTCTAACCTACAAATGTTTGCTGGCCAGAATACGCCGGCGCTGTGGCTTTTGGTACAGCTTCAAAGCTGACCCCGACGCTGTCGCAGAGTTCTTTGTAGACACGGATAGAGTGGTTACTGAGATTCTTCTCGAAGAGGTGTTGCTTTTCGGGGAGAACCTGCCAGTCGTAAGCATCTTCGCGGGACGTCTGCAGTCTCACTTGTGACGGATCCAGAATGATGCCCAGTCGTGCCTCGAGATGCTGTGGCAACATTTTTCGGCATTTGGCGCGCCACTCCGCCCGTTCCACATTGCTCTGCTTCTTTGGAGTTGACATTGAAATCGCGGGCAGCCAGGAAGGCATCTTGGCGTTGTGGTTTCTTGAATTGATAATTCATCTTCTTTGGCTTTCCTTTATCTAGCAGCAATACCAACCCCCAAATCAGTTGGCGGCAGTGGCCGTGTCCGTACTCTGTGGTGTTCAGAATCGTCCATTCCCATAATAGAACATGCCTTCTTATTATGTGGAAATTCATTCCAACCCCTACCTGTCCGATTCCGTCTCTTCTACATTACAGTATTGAAAGACGAAACGCGTCTCGACCGGTGCCTCTTCCAGCTTTGTCTTCTTGGCTGGGATTTCCTCTTGGGTGGCATCATCCATCCCCCTCTTGAGCCCCGTCTCGACAGGCAGGAAGAACTTTTTGGGTACATGGTGGAGGTCATGTAGGTGATTCTGGAAGGAGTTGCCGTCGAGAAACGTCTCCGCGCAGCGCGGGTCTGGGCATCGCGCCTGCCAGGATACGCCGTGCGCTCTGATGTGTGTCTCCCAATCCAGCTGGGAACAGAACGAGTGTAGCCGTTTTGAGCACCCGAGTCCTACATCCCACAGACAGAAAGGGCAGTGGCCTGGCAAGAAAGTTTTCTCCACCTTTTCCCAGGAAAGCTCCATCGGGATGTGGTCCTTCATCAAGTGCTCGTGGCAGTGTTGATCCCAAGCCTCAGGCTCATACAGCCACGGGTTGCAGAAGAAGCAGAACTCTGCGTACTTGACATGCTTCTTCGTGCATTGGTATATGTGCAGATGGTCCCTGTTCGGTTAGGGTCACCCTCACAGGATGGCAGGATGTACTTACGAACTTAATCTGTGGCAATGGCAGGTTGGGCCTAATCCAGGTCGGTCCACTTCCGTATTGCTTTCGTAGAGTTTTACCAAGGCCTCAAGGGATGCTCTTCCTTCCGGGCTTCTGAGGCGTGCCGAGATCGTGAGGAGATCCGCTAATTGTGCACGGAGTGGCATAATCGAACGGAGTCGTGTGAAGGGCCGGCTGACCCCTCTGCAAACAAACGTGCGCTTGTTGCCAACCACCGTTCCCTTGGAAGTCTCCTCCCATAATAAGCTCAACTCTCTTTTCTCGAGGCTTTCAAGCTTACGCCTGAGTTTGCGAACGGGATGGGCGAGAGGTGAATCTTTTGACTTGGTCGGAGGCGGAGTATTGACTTCGGCCTTGACTTCGGCCTTGACATTTTGGCCCGTCGGTAACATGTCCATGAGGAGCTCGGGTTTGCTCGTTGAAGATCCCCGGATCTGGGCCTCTATTTCTCGATATTCTTCGGTCATTGCCAGCTGTTCTTTCTTCCCTATCGGTAGGGAGTGCCACAGTTCTGGTTCCCAGGAAATCTCGAGGTTTCGAAAGTGCTCCCCCAAGTTCATCAGCCGAGCCTGAGTGCGCATGAAGGCTGCCTGGCTATCGATGCCGGGGTTCCGGCTTGAGTAGTACCGTGCCTGAATGGTGTTGGTTACATGGCCCGCCATCGTTTGTCTTTGGATGTCTGAGTAGGTGGGATTCGCGTCTAGAACTCGTAAGCCCAGCACCAGAGAACATAAATGGTATGCCACAAACCAATGTTGGTGAGGCCCTCTGCCCGGAAGCAGTGAAGCCCTGGAGGGTCTGGAAAGCCTGCCCTCATCAACAGGGACCGCAACTCTGAGGAGAAAAGATTCGCAGTCATGATCCTTCCGCTAGAACCAGAGAAAACCGGCAAGTGGAGGACGTCCTTGTGCCACTGAATGTGGATGGCCGGCTCACTAGGGGCAACTTTTAGATCTAGAAGCCTGGATAGTCCATCCAACCCGGGGTAGTCTCTCAAGGCCCCTGCGGAACAGAAAATGGCCAAAAGAAACAGGATGGGGTTTGTATAGAGCGGCTGGGGCTCCAAGTTGCCACGCTCGTGAATATCTGGGTTTGGCCTCTCAGTCGTTAGATGGCCGAACGTGATCTTGTCAGTTGCTTCGCTCACAAGGTGCTGGGTTCATGGCTTTTGCCTTTCAACCACTTCGTCAACTGCAAACCGAACTCGGTCTCCCCGCTCTCGTTTCGGAGGACAATTAGAGTAGTATCCTGGGACGCAGGTCAGGGCTTGAAGCAGTGTCGGGCCGCGAATGTTACCTTGTAGTGCAGTCCTACATTGCTCTGGTATCGAGCGGAGGACTCGATGTAATCGGAGATTCGGGCAGCCGTAAATGCTGCTGCCTGGAGAACGGCCCAATGGTCGATGCGTAGTCTTGGTCGAGCGAAGATTTTCCAGTCGAGAGTCCAGGAGAACTCTCCTGCCCAGGTCAACACCTCCGCAGTGGCATGGCGCCTCGGGCCTGTGTCCGCCACGAGATTAAGGAGCTTGCCCAGGGCTCCCCGTGGCTCGATGAGCTAGCAATGTCAGCGACCGGTCTTCAGCAACCACCAGACCGTTTACGTACGCGGGTGAGGGATAGGAGATGATCTTTTGGTATGGTGCCCCGCTCTCGGTTGTAGCCAGCAGTGAACTTTTTCCAATACGATTTGATGCCCTTTGCGGCAAGCTTTTGGTCTGGCCGTAAACCAGCTCTCATTGCCATGCCCAAACGCAGGACGTACTCCTTAAGGTCCTCAAGAGAGTCCACACTCCGCGGGCCATACGCTTGGACACTGGTCTGGTGAGACGAAGCACTGTGCGGAGGTTGATTCGAACACTCACAAGTCATCCCAGTTCTGCAGTTGTCGTTCGTAGTTCTTTTCCGTGATGCCTTCGACGTTCTTGTTGACCGGCTTGTCGTTCACAATCGACGAGGGGATTTCGACGCCTTCTTGAAGTGTCATGTAGTTTTTCGGGGCCGGGCCTCTTCCAGCCGCTTTCTTGGGGGGATTCATGGCGACAGCAGTGTTACGGCTTTGAAGAGGAGGAAGGAGGGGGTAAAGGTCGAGGAGGGGGAATGGGAGGGTGCTGGGGACGGGCCCCTTTTGTACCGGGCTGAACTGGTCATCTATTTAAAGCATCCCAGTCTCCAGTCCGGTATGAGCCATTGTCTATAACACGCGTGGTAGCGGGCTTGGCCGCGGCAATCGCCTGGCTACAAGGCTTCACACTCTCGGGTTTGCAAAGCAGTAGGGAAAGGGCGCACACGATGCGAAGGCTGGTGGGAGGGGTTGTCACAGAGTTGATGCTGTACCGGAAATGCGCGTCACCATAGCAATTGAAATGGCCACATGCACAGTAGTGAGACTGAAGATGGCTACGATGGAGATGCGTGCTTGTTCCACTCTTGAGAGATCTGATACATAATTCTCGTTCCCCGGAATTTCTACTCAGGAGGATGGTGCGCTTTGAAGGACAAAGTAGACGAGCCATTCGAAGACTCCCTGCTCTCTCTTGCGCAGGAAGGGATGCTCCAGCAGCTGTTTGACAGGAGGCTTTGAAACGGCCTCCGTGAACATGTAAATGGCCTCGTGAGACCAACGATCAGGACGAGTTAGGCCAGCCACCGCATCCTCCAGCTTCTCTTTGTCCATAAGCTTCATCATCAATCTGGTGAACGATTCCAAAAGCTTCGATACATTGCCGCCCGAGCTATAACGCTCTACGTCACAGATCTTAATCTTCCCGTCGTAGCTCACTAGCAGGTTAGCCGCCGATACCTGCTCATGGACCAGGCCGCTACCAAGCAGAAAGTCGATACCGGTCAGGACCTGAGACGTTGTGAGTGGAGGTTCACATTACTGGAAGAATCGTACCTACCTGGTGCAGGATGGAACTGAGCTGCGGCTCGGTGGGGTAGATCGGTGCCTTGCAGAAATGCTGGAGGGTGATGGGCAGAAACTCAGAAACGAGGAAGTAGCCCGCCTGCGGGCAGGTGTAGAGCCTAAAACTTTCGACAATATTTGGATGGCAGAGGTGGCGGAGGCGCTGCGTCTCGAGATGGACCGGATCATCAGAGGCAGCCTTGATGCGGTCGACGTGACAACGGCGACGGAAGAGCCGAATTGCAGGCAGTACCTACTTCCGTAGTGCTGCCCAGGTGACCCGAGGAGTACCGGCACAAACTTCGCCTCGGTCTCCTCTTTGGATTGCTTGACGGAGAAACGCCTTCGGAGCGGCACCGGCCGCTCTTCGGCACCGGTTGAACTTCGCGAAATACTCTGAACAAGCCGGGCGCGCCAAGCTCTGGGGACCTTCCATTGCAAAATTCCCGGCGATGGAATGGGTATGGCGCTTTGTATCTTACAGGGTGGCTCGATAATTACCGCGGCTATAGTCTGCGTGTAAGGTCCTTCAGATGTGCCTGCGAATCTTTATTTATGAACGTCCGCGCGCCCTACCTTGGGGGCCAGACAGAGGCCACTTCCGGCCTCTCCTGGCTGGTTTTGGCTCAGCCTAGGCATCTCTGGCTTCTTAGGCCAAAGGAGTGTCGGGGTTCAGGCTTGCAGGTGGCCTAATAGTAGGCGGATGCATTACCTAATGTCGCATCTGTCGGGTGGTCTCTAAAAAATGTTGATCGGATCGGATTGTAACTGAAAAGGCGGAGGTCTTTCCACAGCACGTTTCGTTCTTGTGAATGTGCAAGTTCCAGCATCAAGACGGTCCTGGGAGACGTAAGTGACGGCATCGTAGATGCACGAGCGTCAATCCTTCATCATGCATCGTGAGAATGTCGAGGATGGGTGAACGACCAGTGTTGTCGCTCAGGTCTACTTCTTCATTGTCAAATGGCAACAGGCTCTCTCTCTGCATTCTAAAGAATCTCATCTGCCGGGAAACCAGTTTCGTCGCTGCACAAGCAAACGAAATCATCTACGTGGGTGGACAGTCATCCACCTCAATACCAATGCCTTCCCTATCATACAACAACAAATTTTGTCCTTGATTTTCTCGGCGTACCTCGTCAATTCCCTCAATGATAGACCGCCGGCGACATCGTCTTGCATCGACCCAGCCACTATCATTTCGAATGAGAATCCTCATCTCTCGGTTGTCCGGTTGTAGGACCTGGTAATGCTCGTCTCCCTGCTCCGCTCGCAGCGCTGGGGGCTCAGGTGGGATGAATGTGGTTAGCGCCGAGCTCCGATTCGTGAGAACATCCCCCCTTGGGGCTGGTCGGCTGACTTGTAGGTCTCGCTTTCGCATCCGCTGTTGTTTCTTATGCTCTGTCGCTTTCCGTGGACGTTTCCGCTGTCCGGACCTCGAAAAAGCCGGCGCGTCTCTCATCTCGTCATCCTCAGGGACAGTAGGTACGGAAGGTTTTGTCGACTGATGCGGGTCGCCAATGACTGAATCGTCCTCTGGTATGTCTGGCATGTCATCTTCGCGAGGCTCCTCCTCTGGATTGTCGTGGAAGCCCCAAAAGGCATGAAAAACGGATCGACGCACGAACAAGGACGTGATATCGGCGCTCTTCTGCGTTTTGCAGGTGAACCAGTATGGAGTCAAGAAATGGCGGTCGTGAGCATAGGCTCTGGAGAACTGACGGCCGCACCGCCTGGCTACCGGTTCCCCTACATGATTTGTGGTTAGCGCCGGACGAGCTAGCTCGCCCTGAAATGGCTGTGCTTCGTTGACAATGCCGACTACAGCCCCTATTAGCCTATCGAACTTTTCTCCATAGCCAAAGCGTTCAGGCGGCCGGACGGATAGTAAGAACTTGGCGACTGCTTCTCGATCTGGATCCACGGAACATAAGCGAGAAATCTCGTCGGAAGCAAACCCCATCTCTCGAGCTCGGCTGGCCAGCTCGACCCAGGCTCTTTCGTCGCACTGACGATGCTCAGGCTTCTCTTCATCCTCTTCCATCAGCGGGTTTTCCCCGGAGAGTTCAACAACGTCCTGCATGATGTGGAGGTAAAGCCGCTTGAGCCTTCCAAGGAATTCGGATTCGGTGTCGAAGGGCGAGGCTGTGTTTGGGGTGTACGCATTCCAAGCCAGGGACTGAACTGTCACCGGAAGGCGGCGTTTGCCCGCTATCAGTCTCTTCATGACGCCGGTGCATTGCTTCAAGTAATAAAAGTCCCTCTGTAAGGTGTGGACGGTTGGAATCAAGTACTCGACCTTTGCGAGTCGTCGTATAACTTGTTCCCTTGCCGGTTCGTCATCCAAGCCCCTGAGTATTCGGGTTTTCCGAATGGCGTCGGCCGTGTGAAGATCGTCGCGAATTGACATGCCTGGGGCGCGCAGCTCAAGCTCTTGAACTCCCTCATCATCAACGAATTTCAATGCATCCTCGGACCCCATGATGAATACAAAGGTGTCATAAATGAGTTGAAGGTAATGCACAATCTCCTACAATGGACAATGTAAGCAATTGATGCGTATGAGGATATTGTGGGGACGTTGTTATACCTCATCGCACCTCTCAGGTACAATTATGTTCCAGACACCAAGTTTGAAACCCTTCCGCTGTCCTGGTATTTCAAGAACTATCCGGAGGGCGGATCCTAGCGTGTCGCGATTGTAAAGCTTCTTCGCTATGTCGGCCCCGCTCGTGGTGAGTCTTGCTAGCCATCGTTTTGAATCTTGAGATCCTAGCGGATACTTGAGGATGTTCAGAAATATAACCCCGTCAGAAAGCTTTCCTTCGTTACTGGAATCTTCTGCTAGGAATCGCCTCGCCTCCGCAGAAAGGTCTCGATAGTCAGCATCTGCACTGTTTGATAGGAACGCATGGTGTGACCTACCGACGTACAACCTGACCGGCCACCAGGGATAGAAGCATTTGGACTCCCTCAGAGCCGTGACACGATGCTTGCCGTGAAGACACTCAATCAGAGCGCCAGGAGGCAGGCGTAGAGTGGGTGGCGTTGGGGCTCGCAAGTCATCCGCTGTCAAGTTGGAGTATGCTAACGAGGTCTGGAGAACATCTGCCGATACAGTCCCTGAGACAAAGTGTAGTGGATTGAGGCGGTTGCAGCCTTCTATGCGAAACATCTTGACAAGGCGCTCCACGTTATCCCTATCAGGCTGATCTAGCGGGTCGAATGAGAGAGAATCAAGGGCGACCTTGGCGGTGCCTTGTAGCTTGGACGATATCTCATCGCTGAGGTGGCTGCTCATGGCGAAGCGTTGCTATTCACTGGCAGTTGGTTATGTGGCCACAGTAAGAGTGTCTTTGATAGTATACGGCCAATACAGGCTATACAGAAGGGACGACCTAGACATATATGGTATCGACAGATGCGGCCGGGATCCCAGACACATTTGGCTATATATATGTGGAGTAGATAGATAGGGCCATGAGCTCAGAATTCTATGCCTATATATATGTAGAATAGATAGATGCGGCCATGAGCTCAGAATCGTATGCCTATATATATATATATAGAATAGATAGATACGGCCATGACCTCAGAATTCTCTGCCTATATATATGTAGAATAGATAGATGCGGCCATGACCTCAGAATAGTGCGTCTATATATATATAGAATAGACAGATACGGCCATGACCTCAGAATCGTGTACCCAGACATATATAGCATAGAGCCGGGAATAGTACGCCGAGACATATATAGCACGTACAGATACGGCCCAAATATATATAGACTGTACGTATTTGACCATGACCCCGGAATAAACCGCCTAGACAGAAATGGCCTGACAGGATGCTATTGTATCTCGTTGGTATGGCACAAAATTTCGAAGCCGCCGGGGCGGGATGAAGAGTCCCCGTCCTCCGCGACCACCCCCATGATGTGACTTCCTAGGAAGTCACTCACCAGAGATGTGGGCTAATAACCTCCATCTCGACGAATGCCTTGGGGCTGCTCTGGTCTTGGTCGTATCTGCTGTTGTTTGCTGTGTGTTCCGCCGTCGTTCTTCAGTACCGGTCTGGACCCGGTCTGTTCTCCGGGATGAGCTCAAGGCTCCCCTGTACATGGCAATGCCGTAGTCAACAAGAGGACGCTTTTGGCAGCTCCATTTTTAGGTTCGGCACTCGGGGGCATTGTGCCGAGTGCCTGCTGGCCAAGCTGAGGACGAAAGTGGCCGTTGGACAAAACCGGCCCAACCAGGCCGAAAATGAACACTCCACATCCTCGCCCCAAGTCCTCCAACTTCTATAGATAAATGTTTCGCCGGCATTGGGGAGAAAACGGGGGATGTACGAGCGTTGTCCATCAAAATGTCTGACACAAAGCGCCATACCCGCTTTATTGAGGAGCCGTCTTCAATTCAAGTCGGGCCCGCGATCGCCGAACCGGACACTGCCCGCAGTGGTGGTGTGCTTTCTCCCAAACTCCATCGGGGAGCGGGAAGCCCGACCCAACCCGAAGAAAAGCCGACACTACTCCGCCCCCGCGGATTCCCAGTCAAGCCAACAATTGAGAGACACGAGGCAAAATTTGTTAATGTGTTTACCGGCTCACCTTGGAACCGGTACGATGTCAGGTACCGAATAAACCTCGGCTACTCGTTCGGCGTGGTCATCGCTCGTGATACAAGCCATGCTCGGATGATCCGTACAATCACTGGACCCAACATCGAGGAGCAACTACAGCGCTTTCGTCAGCTATGCCATTCCAACATTGTCAAGACCGTGGAGATATATAACTGCTTCCACCAGGAAGACAACTTTCTAGTTTCAGAGTTGATGCTAACGTCTCTCCGGCATATATGCCGGTCGCCCATCTACCCTACCGAGCAACAGCTCAGCTCCATCCTGCACCAGGTATGTGTTCTTGGAACGACGTAGGCCTGAACTGACAGCCTTACAGGTTCTCTGCGGCGAAAAGTTTCTCTTAGAAAATAACTTGGTTCACGAGCAGCTGTCTGCTGCGAACATCTTGGTGAATTATGCAGGCGAAGTCAAAATCTCCGACATCGAAAGTTGCCGACGAGACGGTGATGGCACGAAGCTCCTAGAGTCGTTCAGCCGTTTGATGATGAAGCTAATGGACAAGGAGAAGTCGGTATCCGCGGCCATTGGTCTGTCTCATCCCGATAACTGGTCACACGAAGCCATCGATATGTTCACTGCGGCCGTCTCGAAGCCTGGTGTCAACGAGTTGCTTGACCATGGGGATTTGCAGAAGCGAAAGCAGACGGAGTTGGTGTGGCTGGTTCCATTGGTACTTATTTCTGCAAAGCATGATAGACATTAGAACTGCGGAAGGGATCGAGTGGGTTCGTAAAGGAGATCGATGATGCGGCGGCGTTCTCCTGGCATCAGAAATGAAAGCCGGCACATGTGATGGCAAAATGAAGGACGGAACTGATCTTTGTTTAGCAGGTCGAGGCGTGTCCCTGGAGGACTGTCAAATACTTTCAGGTGTGTTTTTGTGCTTGAACATGGATACGTACTGTTTCTCAGCAAATGAAATCCGCGAGACTGGAGATGAAAGCCTGCTTTCAAAGGTAGAATGACGAATAACTACATCTTGGTGACACCCTTATCCACCACCTAGCTAGCCAGCCAGCATCTGCTCCTCAATCCCGGCCCAGTTCAAGTCCTGCCCGTCGATGTAAGAGACCTCACCCTGTTGAATGCACGCGGAAACTTCAATATCCATACAGCTCGTGTAAATATCGGTGGGCGGCTGTTGGTCGCCCGATTTGGAAGGCCATTCCCAGACCCAGTAGAGAGTGAAAATCCCATCTATACTGTTGGGAAGCCGGATGTCGGATTGGCACCATAAGTCAGCGCCCTGAGGATCCGCGGGGTCTTTTCTAAAGGCGTCCTGGCGAGCGATTGAGATTGGCCCGTTGTTGATCTGAAAGCACTGGCCGTCGTCAAAGGGCCTAATCGCTAAGAGGGAACCTCGCCGGTCGCCTCCGGTGCCCTCTTCGTTCCAGACACGATGGATGGAGAGCAGCCTATCGTCCTCGGAGGGAACCTGGGTGCCGTAGATGAAGATCGTACCGCCGTGCTCCTTGTGCGGACTTGTTTCTGGGAGGGTCACATGCCCGTTCTCCTGGTGTTGAAGAGCGATGAAGTCTCCTGGCCGCGCCTGCAGTCGGGGAAACATATCGCTCGATTGCATTGCTGCCTGCGAGTCCCTGCAAATACGATCGGTCGGGAGGATGCCTTGCTCTGCCACTCTACCGTTCGGCGGAAGATGATGTTGCATCCGGAGGTCGTTGAATGTGGTATCAAGCCTAGACACAAACCCCCGAATGTATCCAGGATCACCGACCATGGTACCGTTTAAGTCGAGCCGTCTGAGGCGCTCGATCCACGAGTGGGCACCGGATAGGGGCAAGGCAAAGAGAAGAATCGTCAGGATCATATTGAAAGTCATGTTGATGATGCTCATCTACCCATAGCAAGACGGTTAGCATGGCGGATTATAAATATATGCTTCGTGGGGCAGAGTCTAAAGCAGGCAACGGCCACATTCGTCCTTGGCCAATTTCGGCCAGTTGCACCGTGATATCTGGTTGGGTACGCATCTTGTACGTCTCGCCGCTCACTTCTCGCGTTGAGGCTTCCAGCGACTGTTGCACGCCTGATCGAACGACGACGCGGGCAAGCCGGGAAGAGGGTAGCAATACGTGGCCCGCGAGCGTACATGAGAGCTCCGTTGGCTTGGAGAGGCGAAGGCTGACTTCCTAGGAAGTCACGCGAGTACTTGGGATTGTCTCTGATCACTTGCCGCGGATAGCCGTCGCCCGCACGCCTGAGGTTTTCCCGGCCGGCATGCCTCAAAGCTCAGCTCGGCGACAACGGGCAGATCCGCGTGCCAAACCATGGGCTGACGAAAAGGCAGGCTGCGGATCAGAGACCGAGCTGGCGGGCATGGGTTTGAACTTCATGTCTAATCATGTCGCCCGAATGGAAGAGCAGCACACATACCTGTGTCCTTCCATGGAAACTAGAAGCTGTCGGTGCTTGAAAGATGGTCGTTTGCAATTTCCATCTCTCCTTTCTGTAGCGCCTCGTAGCGACCCAGTTGCTGATAAATATATAGCAGAACATGACGGTGACGAGGCCTACGGCGACGAGTGGCCCCAGGATGGAAAAGAGGCCGACCTGCATCGCCGTCAGTGCTACAGTGATATAGACTGTCAAGCTGGCCAGCCAGCCAAAGTTGTCGCCAAAGAACGAGCCGAACAGGTTCCAGCGAGACATATAGCCGGGAAACAGGGTCTTCCAGAGATGACCTATCTCGTTGAGCCAACTGAGGCAGAGCTCTCCAGATTGAAAACGCGGATCAATCGATGAATAAATGTACGTTGTCCTCAGGACGTCCTTGACGACCGTCCTCTACGCTTGCCCCTGCACCTCTTCGGGCAGGATGTAATTCGCCGTGGCGATGTGGAAGCCACTTTCATGGGCTATGAGAGCCGCATACGAGAACAGAAGTCAAAGGCGCGCTCCCTATGGCCCCCTAGGCAAACGATTGCTGGGCCACAAGGGGACTCGACGGCTGCGAGCATCGCAGCCCAGAAGCGCGGCTCGGGGAGGAAGCGCGGCAACGGCTTGACGAATATGCGGCCGCCCCCCACACCAGGTGCAGGCCTAGCCTCTCGTTGATTAGGATCTCGCGGTTGAGGAGGCGCTGTTGATGGAGCGGGCACGGCGGCATGGCCGTCGCGCGATCCACAACCAGTCGTTGACGGGGCGAGTCCTGGCAGATCGAGCTCCACATCGACGCAGGCGAGCACGGGAGTATGAGCAGGTTAGTCAGGTCGTCCGCCGGCGACTGGCTCGATGCGGGTGGCAGGTATGCGAGATCGCTCTCGACGCGGTAGGGTATGCTAGGGCGTCGTGCTCCAGGAATCGCTGGGTAAAGGGGGCAACTGGTAGAGGCTGGTCAGCAACCACGGCTTCCTGGACGGAAGCGAAACGGTGGCTCACGTGGCTCCCAGGGTGTTATCATTACGACGAAGAGGTTGGGGGATCATGTGACTCCGGAGTCACGACCGTGAGTGACATGGCACTAAGACGCCCAGAATCATCGCATGAGCATCTTAGACCAACCGTCGGGGGCGGGTGCTTGACTTTCTAAGGGCGTCTGCAGGCTGGTGTTCATTGGACCAGCCTTGCGGCTAAGCAAACGACCGTATTATTGAATAAGCAGTTGCACTTGAAAGGATGAATACATGTCGCTATCTCGTCACGTGTCCATCCGCATCGCACTTGCTCGCCGCCGTGGGGCACTCCTGGTGCAATGCCATGCAGCTAAGATGTATCCCCCCGCTGTTAAGGTTCAGAGAAGTGGAGCACGCTGCCCACGCCCTACCAGACGATCATCATGTTCACAAGCGTTTCATCTCCACAGCGGCTGATTACGAGCTGACTTCCATCTGCTGCTCGAACGAGCACCAGCAGGTAACAAGCAGCCAGCATATGGTATGCTACGTCCCCCGTTGTTCGATTACCTCCGCGTTGACAGTTGGCTACGGCTACGCACCTTCTAGCACTCGCAGTATAGTTAGTTGGTGGCGGAGTTCGCACTATACAATGTTTTACCTGCCGTTAGCAGTCAACGTCACGCGTCCAAGCATATAAAGATGTGCCAATAGTACATGTCGGCGACGGTGATTGGGTATCTCGGGCGCTGGTTGCAGCCAGAATGTCGGGGCTGAAGGAGACGTCGCGCCGAGATCCAAAGCTGCACCCGTGCTCAGTTGTACTTTACACCAGTCTGGGGTGAACGGGTTATGACGTCTTCGCTTGCTGAGATCCTGAAAAAGTTGATCATCACAGACACAATTCCCTTCGATTGTAACCAAGTTATCCTTGAGAACTCGTCCCATCATTTCTGGACCTTGGTACAGATGCGATTCCAAGATGGACTCCGACACTAAAGTTACAGATACTAAGGTGCGTTTATGCCTACATTCTTTCGTGTTCAATTCCTACTTACACGTATCTGACCGGTAAGGCTCCCACCGAGAAGGAGGATCGGCTCCGACGAATGTACGGGAAACTACCAACCAGGACTGATCTACTTCACCATCAGTTAGAGGTATCTAGTGTTGTTAACCCGTTTCGAAATTTGGCTGATCACTTTATCGTTCATAGAGGAAGTACTTCGATTCAGGCGACTTCGCGCTTACAGCGGCGCATAAAGCCTCCAACATTGGGAACATCCAAAGCGGAAAGAAACACCCTCTCGTCGAGAACATTTCCCGCCCTTCGGCTCCCGTACCAAGTTGCAGCAACGTAGACGATAACGCAAGTAGGGACAATGCGAGTCAAACGAGTAAATCAATACACCCGAGCGGAATAGGCCAGGAAATGTAATCAGATATAGGACCACGGACGGAATACCTCAAAGGTCCGGGCAGAGGGGCACGATTGGGGAGTATGGGCAAGCCAAAATCGGGTTTCGAGTGGCAAGTCGTCCCTAGAGGTTACTCTTCCAGCTACCCAGCTTCCTATCTTCAACCACGAATACGAATCTGTCGTGGGGCAAGAGTTAAAACAAATGGGTTACTAGCAGTTGGCAAACGTTGCTGTTCGTATGTTAGATCCTGTCGTCAAGTCGTCTTCTTAATATGGGTGTCCGATTGCGCATGCGATGTATTTACATCGGGTCCCAGATTGTTCAAATCCCAGACATGACTTACCTCCTAGATGAAAAGAGAGACTGCATCGTCCGTCGCCAGTGTAGCGTACTCTCCTAGAATTCAAGTCTACCAAAGCCGAGGGCCGACTAGCACACCTTTACGGACAGCGTAAGAGAAGGCGAATACTCATAGCAATCAACAGTGTGCACATAAAGGGGACGTAGGACGTCAGCTAATGAATATGGGTCGGTGATTGTCTTCTTCAGGGCTGATACTTGGGCAACGCCGATCGCGGCAGGATTTCTACATGCCCGTCATGAACGGGCCTCGAGTCGACGCAGCGCTCCGGGATTTCGAACGTCTGCACAAGCTGGAGCCAGCCTTTATTCTTGACATCCCGGGATTAGGCTCGGGTGGCGGTTGGGAAAAGGCTTTCTCGAGTGAACTGGACTTGTATTCGATGAAGCCGACGCGGATACAAGAGCTAGGAAATAAAAGCCCACTTGAGACTGTCACTTTGCGAACTCCACTGGTTTCTCAGCGGGGTATATCTTTGACAAGAAGCCACAGCCCCTCCCCGATGTGCCTGAGATTTGTTCATGTTCCGTAGCCGAGAGCACACGCTTGGATTCATACCCTTTCCCCACGCCCGATTAGCCGACCTTGGGGGTTTTTGGGGGTGGACAGCGAGGAATGGTGTATGGGGCATTGGCGAGATATGCATTGTTAAAGGATCAATTAATTGGTGACTCACGCAGTCAAGAACATGTAGTGTGATTTGGCCTTATCGGGTCAACTAGCCCCAGGTACTCATGCGTTTCTAGGTGCCTTGGCACTCTTCTGCCTACCCAAGAGGGGCGGAGGCAGTATGGGTTTACGGAAGGGCAATCCAGTCGTAGGATAGCAGCATAGCGGCCCGGAGGGTGGCTCGGGGCCCTAAGGACAAAAGAAACAAAAGAGCACGAGGCCCTGAGACAGAAGACTGAGGGACATCGATAAGTCTATTGACGTACTTCCTCATTACTTTAGATTACTTCAGTTCCATGCCATGTTAAAAGTCATACTTCAACGCAGAACCTCCTAACCACATCAACTAATTTTTTCCTCGCTTTATCCCCGCCAAATGCCTGTCCATGATCTAACTTTGCAAACCATAGCACCTCTAACATGTCACCTTCCCATACTCCATCTTCCCATATGTCAAGTTCAAGACTCCAATCATCCGCTCCTGTTAGGTACGCTCCCACGACTTTGGCATCGATTATTCTGTCTCTGCCGGACAAGACCACACAGACACGATGGTCTTGAATGTCTTCTTTCCACAGGATATTTTCGGCCCAGAAGAAACGTCGAAATAATGTGTGCGAGGTGCCCATGTCTTTCGCGCCGAAGTATGACAGCAGGTGTTCGTTTGCATGGGTCGGCTTTCGGTACGTCTGGACTCAGGCAGGAGGTTAGCCGAGGTCGATGATTGGGGCATGTGGAAACCATTACGAAGTTGTACGCCACATGAGGAAGATGGAGTAGAAAAGCCACTGGGTCAACAAACAAAATTGGGCCAACCTTCTGGGCGGTCTGTGGCGCGTGAATGAGATGCGTAGCGACTACACTGCCGTAGCTTTGAATGGTTACTTCAGTACATAGAAATGGGCAGGAAATAAGACAGAAATAAAAGACTTGGAATGGAGAACTCACGAATGTGACACAAGCACTAATCGTTGCCACCCATGTGCATTTAATATGCAAGCAATCTCTGCGCACATTTCATCTTTCGCCATTGCCTCGCCAGTTATCCTGGAGCTCACTGACAAGATCTCCAACGCGATGATACCCACCTGTCCATCCGGCGAACTCTGGCTATTTTCAGCGTTAAGGTCAGCCAAGAAATCGATGTACTGGTACAGTCCGATGCCAATGCCGTGAATAAATAGGACGGGAAGCCTCGTCTTAGATGTGTGTGGCCGGTGCCAGTAAGTAAGCGTCTTGGCGGGGGAGCGATTGGTGGCGAGTAGAGAAAAGGGACGCAAGGGGAAGACCGCAAGGAAAGAGGTACGGTGAAATTGGAACGAGTAGTGGCGCAAATAGAACCACGCTACTGTGTCGACAACAAACACACACTGCCAAATAAAGCAAGTCAATCACTATTTTCTTTTAAACACAGGGACTGCAAGATAGGACTTACCAGGTACCACGTCAAGCTCCGGTGCAGCATCTCGACCTTATCAAGCGTCAATCTCAGACACTTGACGTTGCCGCGCCCAGGTTCCACCTTCCTTCCCAACAATTTTTCCATCTGTCCGACGTACTCCTCAAGTTCTCCGTCATATGCGGGGTCAACCTCTCCTGTGTTTAGGAACGCCCACCGGAAGAAGTCTTTCAAGTTTTCCCGCTTTATCTCGGTCAGAGTCGCATCCTGGAACCACTTCGTCAAATATTGTTCCGGTTCCGGAATGTTGTTGTTGCACTGGCGAAAAAGCCTCCGTCTGTCTTTTCGGCAGGCCGTCGGGGGATGTACCGCGGCTTTCTGGAGGTGGGCTTGGCGCGGTAAATAGAAGGCCAGGTAGAATACCGCTTCCAGGGCGAGCCATATCTCAAGCACGCGGGGGAAGTGTAGAGGTAGAAGGAAGACCGCTCTGACTAACGAATAGAGAGTGCTCAGCGGCGCGATCAGTGACAGGAGGAATATGGATGTACGGATCAGAATGTAATGCCAGATGGATGTCCCCACCATCGCGATGAATAAATGCAGGAATGGTCTAGCTTTTAAGGAACTGTAGATGATATCAGCTTTCGGTAAGAAAGAGAGAAGGTTCATATAATCAGGAAGTCCTTGACTGGGATTTCTTTATCAATGTCGTGAATCGTCAGTGAGGAGCTCCAAATTCTTGTTTCTGTTGAGACCCGCTCACTCTGTTGAGAAGTCTGCCCAAAAGAATGTTAATGAGAAGCAATCTCCCTCCAATCAAAAAAGCACAATCGGCCGTGCCCGATACCAATGAATAGTATCACTCAATGCACCAGGTCGAGCGAGGTCTTTATCCGCCACTTCCGCGCCCGCCGTGAGATAGCAGGATGTAGAACCAGTTGGCTTGTGAGCCTTCGGACCGCCTTCAGGTTGCTGCAAATCATGCTCGTACCGCGGCCCGATTGCACAGGCCCAACGACTTTTGCAAGCCACCGCCACCATTGTCCGGCAATCAGGGCGCGGTTGGTGCAGAAAGAACAAGAAGGGGCTGGTATGCATGGGCTTCGACCCTTGGTTTATGTGTAAAGATGACGAGACTCGGGCGGCGGAGGAAGCGGGGGCGCTTTTCTTTGATTCTGTGAAGATTGGCCTGGCAAATTGTCTGGCGCGACAGTATCTGGAATTCCGTCAGTGAATTTTGCCAGTTGTGACGAAGTGGAGGTTACGGAACAAGATCAGGGCCTGGGACGGAGTTCAGGAAAGTACACATCAGTTGGCTGGGTCTCCTCAGCCTCCTCAGACAAGACGATGCCAAGCCCCTGCCAATGCTGATGCCCTGCGTAAAGTAATCGTTGCCGAGCTTGTCAAGGCCTTGTGTCGAGCAGGCCGCACATATGGCCATGGAGGGTGATACGCGGCTGACCCGAACTGACTTCGAGCTCCTACAGCCTCCAAATCTCGGCCATGAACTGGTACGTTGATTGCTAAGGACCCCAGAAATTGAACCGCCGGCTATAGCCATGCTGAAACTCGGGTTAGGTAGTGGATTTGGATGGGTTCAGGAGCCTGTGCTTACGCAGGTCTGGGCCATGATGGCGTTGAAGGTAGTGGCGAGCAGTACCTCTCCCTCCCAAAGTCATGTCCTTCAGCAACGTTTCCGTACGAAAGAATGCGCAGAACGGATGCTGCATGACGAAGTACACATGCAACAGCCTCCGCAACATGGTATCTGTCGTTTGGACGGAGGTCCACTTAAGTACTCTGACTTTCTCATATGAGGGTCAGCCAACAAGCTGGACAGTATGGAATGGAATCCGATACACAATCTGCCACTCGTGCTTTCCCAGTTCGGCTGGATGCCCAATCAAGCCGCAAGTGTTGCGGTAAGATAACAGGTTGAGATAAATTATAGCCGTGTCTTGCGAAATCCGGGTTGGTATGTTCATCGCAAACGGAAACTCATGTCAGGTTTCACCGAGCTGGAGCAGCAGGTCTCCATCGCGGAGGTATTTCTCTAGCTCATTAAGGTCCGCTCCATCACGGATACGGCGCAGCGTAGCGGCGACGTCTGTCTCAGAGCCGTTTTGCAAGAAGCCAAAGAGATGCTCCAGTTTGGCATTCCGCAACTCGAGCTCACCATACTTGCGCCGCAAAGATTGTCGCGGGGTCTCCGCCAGATCCGTGTCGTAAATGCAGTCCTTGCTGAGCCGCTGGCAGCGCAGGCATTTGGGTCTATGAGCAGAGCACTAAGATAAGCATCACGGTTAGCTGAGAATCCCCCCCGGGGGCTGGTGACAGAACCTTCGTTTTCTGTTTGCGACACTCCCGACAAGCTGCCGGTGCCTGGGGGCTCGTCACACGGCGCGTCGCTAAGTCCGATCTGGAGGCCGATGCCGGAGTCTCGAGCACCCGCCTATCAGCAGGCGCCGGCAGTAAGCGTCGATGGCGATCTTGGCGAGGGACGAAGGTCAGCATTTTGACGTCAAAGGGAGATGGCTGTGCAATTTGAGGTTGACGAAAGCCCATATAATAACAATCGATGTCGAAAAAGGCACAATGGCGAAAAGGGGGAATCGGGAGACATGGCTCACGGGGCGCGGTCTGCTTCGGTGATGCTCTCATGCCGTGCCACACGTTAACGTTATTACGAGATCTCATAATGATATCATCTCGTAGACCGGTGCCAATGTCCAGGTGGGTAACATTCCGGTTGTTCGGTGGAGCCTTGCAACTATGTGACTTCGTCGTCGCCAGTATCCCCGACGACAATTAGTCAGTTGCCAATAACCATGAAACGGGTCGAATCGTACCGGGGCGGTAGCGAGTGAGGTAATGCATCAAATGAGGACTCTGCCGACCCACATCAAAGTGCCCCTGGGTCGAAGTGGTAGGGTCAAGGTAGAAGAAATACGGTCGGTACATGATTGTAACCTTAAGATTGACCCACTTAACGTGGAGATTTAGGCCTGATAAACAAATTATTCCGACAGGTGCTTATCGGGATTCATTCATCTAGGACGCGCCGGAGGTCGTATTTGGACTTTGGCGCGCGATGGAAACGGCGACAGTACGTGTCCGAAACTCGATGCCTCATGTGTCGTATTCGTCACTTCTGGCCGAGCCCCCCTATTAAAAGGACCTCTTGATGGGTGTAACTTCATTGATCTCTATTTTGTACTGGCTCTGTCGAGTGACAAACTTGACTCCATTTCTTCACCGCCCTGCGGCAGAATGATGAATATTCAATAAACTCGATTTCTGACACCCTTAAAACCGGATCAAAGCATCAATCTGACTGACACCAGCAACAGTAGTAGGTCACTTTGGGAAGTCGCATACGCTAAACAAGCGAGGCTTCCCCGCTGTCAGCCTATTTCGTGCCCGTAAACAAATGACTTTCATGTTCCAGCTCGAATCTACAATGCTCCCCCAAACCTCCTCAACGTTCCAGCGACCCGCGTTCTCCTGAAGCTCGCATCAGCTTTCCTCTTCCTAGCCTTGCTCATCAACGGCCAGTTTCTTCACATTCTCTTCATCCAATGCGTGAGATTGTAAGTCATTCCCTTTTCAGCCAAGATGCGACGCGTCCCATTACCCTGCCGATGAACTACACTGACCCGTGGTTGCAACCTACGAGACCTCCAACAGTCACCACAATGAGGAACCTAGAGCCCCGTACTAATCGCCTTCTCTCTATCTACAGGTTCACGTCCAGACCGGCCAGTGCGTAAGAAGACCTGAGATCACCGCTTAAGCAAGGCTGGCAGAGCTAACCAGCTGGCAATATACAGGGTAACCAGATCGGTGCTGCCTTCTGGCAGAACATCTCTGGCGAGCACGGCCTTGACAACGATGGCATGTGAATATTTCTGATTGCACAAGGCCCAAATGGCTGCTTGATACGGTGGAACTGACCAATTGATAGCTACAACGGTACATCCGACCTCCAGCTCGAGCGTATGAACGTCTACTTCAACGAGGTAATGCCACACTATCTGGTATCTGCAGCCCTTGCTGATCTCTTTAACGCAGGCCTCTGGCAACAAGTACGTTCCCCGCGCCGTTCTCGTCGATCTAGAGCCTGGTACTATGGACGCCGTTCGTGCCGGTCCCTTCGGCCAGCTCTTCCGCCCCGACAACTTCGTATTTGGCCAGTCTGGTGCCGGCAACAATTGGGCCAAGGGTCACTACACGGAAGGTGCGGAGCTTGTCGACCAGGTCCTCGATGTTGTCCGCCGTGAGGCTGAGGGCTGCGACTGCCTTCAGGGTTTCCAGATCACCCACTCTCTCGGTGGTGGTACTGGATCTGGCTTGGGAACCCTGCTCATCTCCAAGATTCGCGAGGAGTTCCCAGACCGCATGATGGCCACCTTCTCCGTCGTTCCCTCCCCGAAAGTCTCCGACACCGTCGTCGAGCCCTATAACGCCACCCTTTCCATCCACCAGCTTGTCGAGAACTCCGATGAGACCTTTTGCATTGACAACGAGGCACTCTACGACATCTGCATTCGCACCCTCAGGCTCTCCAACCCCTCGTATGGTGACCTTAACCATCTCGTCTCTGCTGTCATGTCCGGCGTCTCCACTTCACTCCGTTTCCCTGGTCAGCTCAACTCCGATCTCCGCAAGCTCGCCGTCAACATGGTTCCCTTCCCTCGTCTCCACTTCTTTATGGTCGGCTTCGCCCCCCTGACCAGCCGTGGCTCGCACTCCTTCCGGGCCGTCAGCGTCCCTGAGTTGGCCCAGCAGATGTTTGACCCAAAGAACATGATGGCCGCATCTGACTTCCGCAACGGTCGCTTCCTGACCTGTTCCGCCATCTTGTGGGTACTCTTCGCCAGACTTTAGAATCAGCGCTAATGTTATATGCCAGCCGTGGCAAGGTAGCCATGAAGGAAGTTGAGGACCAGATGCGTAGTCTCCAGAACAAGAACTCGTCGTACTTCGTCGAGTGGATCCCCAACAACGTGCAGACAGCTCTCTGCTCGATCCCACCCCGTGGTCTCAAGATGTCCTCGACCTTCGTCGGCAATTCGACTGCGATCCAGGAGCTCTTCAAGCGTATCGGTGAGCAGTTCACTGCCATGTTCCGGCGCAAGGCTTTCCTTCACTGGTACACTGCCGAGGGTATGGACGAGATGGAGTTCACCGAGGCTGAGTCTAACATGAATGATCTTGTTTCTGAATACCAGCAGTACCAGGATGCCGGTATCAACGACGAGGAGGAGGAGTACGACGAGGAGGTTCCGCTTGAGGATGAGCATTAAGTGGCGATCCTGACGCATCGCGAGTTGGCAGCCTCCTGCTATAATGATCCACGATCAAGGGCAACATTGAGCTGTTCGTCCATTCTGCGGTCTTTCGATTCAGGCTTGTGGCCAACAACCGATAAGGGGTTTTCTACACAGACCTGTTCTATGGATGTCATGCCACACTATTGATTCGGTAACCTTGCCGGCGTTGCGCTCGAGTGCCTCGCTGGGTTGGGGCTCGCAGCCGATGATGGATGACCATGTCTTATGGAGCTGGTGCGAGAGGAATCGGCCATCACCTTAGCATGGCGGGGTATCTGATCAATCTTTTGACAATTTGAGCCGCAAACTTCAACCTGAATGCCACCGACGTGGCTTACCCATATGGGTTAGGGCGAAAAGGATCCTGATTCCCACCCCGCCTTACTCTACTGCCCGCAAGAAGTCTGCAGATATCAACCTGTAGGTAGCAGGTTAGCGGTCGCTGTACTTTGCTTTCGAGCTGTCGTAGGTTGCGCTCAGCATAGAGACGCTCTGGTTAGAAACGGTGGGCCCAGCTCGAGGCTCATCGGCCATCCGACCCGATTCGATCCTCGTGTCGACGAAGCTTGCAGTTCTGCCACCCAGTGCTGGTAGTTTCGGCCCCGGAAGATAGTAACGCAGGAGAACTGGATGGCTCAGCGTGATATTTGTGTACGCTAACAATAGAACTTGGTGGCGACAAGAGGGCGGGCGGGCCCGTGGAAGGCGAGAGTGCAGGTCGGTCTCTCCGCCTTGATCGCCGTCGAAGGCGGTACGCGGCACATTGTATCGACCATAACCATGTAGTAAGCTGTCAATGACATCGTCTTGCTCTTGATTCCTCCATTTCAGAAAGTTAGTCTCGTCGCGCGGGCTTGGTTTGGTGCGATGTTTGCGAGCCTTGTAGACACACTGTGAGGTCGCGTTTGGCACACCTTGAGCACGGTATGACGCCGTCGCACTGCACCGGGTTATTACTCTCCGAGACTCCTCCGCTGCTCAAGGCGAGCTCCCGCGCTCTCGTGGGGCGGGATGGGCAATGCTGGAGGATCAGTGCGCAGTAGTTGAAGTGGCCGTCAAGTGCGCGTCTGGCTTGCCACTTAGCTCAGTTATAGCGTTCGCGCAAAGACTTCCAGCGACAGCGGACACTGATGCCCGATCGCAGGACGAAGCGGGCAAGCGAGGGAAAAGGGTTCGGTGGCAAGGGATCCGTGAGTGTCCATGAGAACTCTGCTGGCTTGAAACCCCAAAGAAGGTTGACTTCCTAGGAAGTCATAATTATCCGGTACTCAGTAGGGAGGGCAAGTGGCATACTAGGTTACGGGAGCAGCCTGCCCATGGGATTGGTGTCAGCACCTGGCAGCCAGTGACTGGCGCCACAGTCAATCAAGCAAAAGAGTTGGTCAAGTCGCCTCAATACGGAGCAGGGTAACCGTTTTGAACACGACCGTTTCAGCATTTGTACTTGCACAATATGCAAAAATTTGCCTCGACTGAGGCGTGGCTGACCTTAGACTGAACTGGGCCTGAGCCGGGCCTGAGCAAGAGCGGCAAGCGCGCTAACCCGATTAGTCCATCGCAATGGGTGGTTGTAAAACCGAGAACCCCATGAGCGTCACCCCACCATACTACCACTGGCAACAGTCTCCCTTGACAGATTTGATTCTTCTTCAAATAGCAGGCGAATGATGATGGCAACGCTCTGATATATTGCCCCCGTTTCTTCTTCGCCACAAACTCCTAGTCATCTTCTACTAGGCCCAATGTCAGACATCGTGAGCTTGAACTACATTGAGAAAAGACCCCAATGACACCTGTGTTCTGATCGCGAGTAGAAACAGTGAAGAGACGTTTGAAGAGTCCTACCGCGCCCTCGCAGACCTTCTGGCGCTGCCTCGCCGGCACGACCTCAAGGTCAATGTGCTGGCGCTGGAAGGATGTCAGCTCATGCTTCATGATCGTCGATAGCGCCGATGATGTTGGTGTGTTTTTTGCGAAAGAGGGCAGTGAAGACGGCGCGCATGAACCACTGGCTTCACACCTGCCCAAGACGGCTGGCGGCGAAATCTTATTCACGTTACGCAGTCTAGACGCTATAGAGAAGCTCGCCGGTAGCGGTAGGACAATACTGCGCATACCAGTCATGAGGAGAAGCAGGCGCTACAAGTTCTGCAAAAGGAGCTTGACAAAGAAGTGGACGAAGCGCCTGCGATTGACCTCGTTTGCCCTCAACCATATCCCACTAGCGTCAATCAAGCATCAGCCTACATCAACAGGCGCAGTCCGCGAGGTACTCCTGCGTCGTACTTGATTGAGTTCCTCAAGAACTAAAGGCGCAGAGACGGCCTACTCCGCAGTGATGAAAGGGACCTCGGACGCCGCGATGGCGTATCTAATTCTGTGGTCGTAACGTCGCAGGTGACGTTCGAGCAGATCAGGCGCGAGCGCCCCCAGGCAGCCAAATTACTGTCTTTGATGAGCTTCTTTCAAGCTCAGAACATACCGGAGAGTGTGCTGCACGCCTACGATGACGCTGAGAGCGGAGAGGAAGTAGGTAACCGGCGAAGCGGTGAAGACGCAGACGCCGATACCGACGATGTTGACACACTAGAGACTTCGAGAACGACATTGGTGTACTACGGGGCTATTCGCTCATTACTCCAACAGCGACAGGGCTCTACGAGATGCACTCTCTAGTCCAATTCTGCACCCGTTCGTGGTAGATTTGAAGACGTCAGTGGTCGAGAACCAGTTTTTAGGCTGTCCGCCTTACTGAACGCAAGTCTTTCCGTGTTACGATTGCTATATACGGGCTAACAATCGTCAGGAATTCAACAGCGTTGCGCAAAGCTCCCGCTCCGCAAATTAACATCACTACATAACTCTGTGACAAGAGACGGTGGACTGCTGGATCAAGGTCTTCAAGGCCCTGAGCTGTCATTTCGGCCTGTGTACGGCCAACATGTGAAACCGTTGACCAACTGAATCCCGGAATGACCGAGGCGCGATGCACTCATTCTAGCGACAGAGAGCAATTCGCCACTGAGGTTTGTTCTCTGATTCAGGTGGACATGATCAGATTAAGAACCGGCCATTTTACGCTCTTGTTCGTGTGCTCTACTCTTGCGGCCATTGCTGATAGATGTGTGATGGCTGGTGGCGGGTGATCTTGGGTCGCCTAAGGTGGGTGTCGTTGGGTGATTGAGCCACCACCATGAGGCGTAGGTCTCCAACAAACCCATCCAACAAGATCTGGGCGCACGCTGCTTAGCCCAGAACCCAGAACCAGTGCTAGGCAAAGCAGTTTCTGGCTTCAATCTGGTACTGCGCAGGGGAGAATCTCAAAGTAGAGGTACGATTCGGGACGTACCGTGCATTGGACCCGAATTGAACGCGGTGTAACGCCTTGATGAGGGCAGTTTTGGCGTTTTCGAAGTACTTCGAGATCGTCCAAGGCAGCCCAATGTGCTGCTCAAGACGGAGGCCCCTCTTGTAGAATTCCGACAACGGCCATGCGACTCCAGCTCCCTCGGCTCCAGTCGACCTGTGCACCATTCGGCTTGGGTTGCCCACAGGAACCGGGTGGCCACTACAGGTGTCTAATGCCGTGACGCGTTTGTGCTATTAAGAAGCATGGAAGGTACTAACCTGGAGTTACTGTACTCACAGTCTTTCTCTCTGTTCTAATTACATGGAGGCATTTCTGCGGCTTGTATTCTATCTCGACGCCTTGCACAGTATTGCGAGCTGGTTCAGAATAGACGAAGAGTCACGACTGGAACTCTGCGACAGTAAGGCGGATGTTTGCTCCAGTTGCTCAACTGCAGGCTTACAGAAACCCCAGTTGTACTAACTTATAATCGCAATGACCGCAGTATCCACACTCCTTGTCACACGCCGTGAAGTCTTTGACGGAGTCATGCTCAGAGCCGTCATAGTCGTAACGATCTTCATCGCTGTCATAGCTCCACCAATGTGCTTTGTCGTCGCTTTCCAGATCGCCTCTCGCACTCTCCGGCCCTGAGCCATCAGCAACTTCCAGACCCTGAAGGATTAGTTGTCTGTAAGACTCAACATCACTCTTCCTTTGAAGCATTACATAAAGAACCTCGACCAGACAGTCTCGACCGGTTGGCATGCTGAACCCTCTCTGAGAGACTTCGTCAAGAGCTGCCATAGCCACGTCCTGCAGCCCGTTTTTTTGATCACCAGACACTGGGTTGTCAGCCGTATTGCAGTCAAGGAGAAATCCTAATATTTCAGGCCCTACAAGACATTCTCTCCACAACTCGTCCAAGTCTACACGGACATCTATGTCTACGGATAGAATTTTTGTCTGAAGCGTGTCGAAAGCGAGGACTCCAATGACTTTGCCTTTGCCGCCAGGCTTTCGCTGACGCGAATGAAGGGCAGCAAGGATCTGATTCATTGGTGAATCGTCGGTCTTTGTAGGTGAAGATACACCTGAGCCAGGTTGTCCATCGCCTCCACCCGAAGACCCCCTTGCACATGACGAAGACTCTGCAACAACTTGGCCCAACCTGAATGTTGCGGGTGGTGGCAAAGTTGGACGTGTAAAGCCCCCCGTAGAAGGACTGACGACCGGCTGCTCTTTTGGAAATCTCAGATGGAGGTCGATGTCCCTCGAGGGTCTGGCGAGGGTGGCTCGCCAATGGTGAGAGTTGATAGGAGATTTTTGGTAGAGGTTCAGCTCGTAAAACTTGTCGTGAATGCCACATCTGAAATTTTTGTATCTTGAAACCTGATGTAAGTTTCCAGCTGCGGACGGTTTGGGGCATGACATCGTGACGTACGAATTGACCTTCTCAAAGTTCGCTTGTAGAAGCTGCTCTTCTTGTATCTCCGCATATTCCCTATTGGAACCGAGCGAGCAAAGTAACGAAGGGATTCTAGCGGACCGTAGTTGATCTGGCGGACCAGTTGGATGGAATGTGAAGTTTCCGGGCAGGCTTCTTCTCTGCGAATGTCATCTTTCTGTTCATTGGCCCAGGCGAGGAAGCCTGAGAATTTCGACTCATGGTCGAGGGCCTGTGGTCGATATGGTTGGATAGCGCCACAGCAGAATAGGGAAGAATCCATGATCAAGAGCACCTGGATATTAAAAGCCAAGAGTTTCGCATCAGGAGGGAAGAGGGGTATACTTAAGTAGCTTGAGTTCACACGGGAAGCAGACGACGTCTACTTGACGTCATTACATCGCTTTGGTTGTAGCTTGATGCGTGGCTTCCGCTAGCTCATGCTCGTATCCAATGACAGGCAGGACAGCAAGGAACTTTGTAGAACAGGATGGTGGAGGACTACTTTGGGCACACTTCGTACGACCAACAACAACAGAGACTGGGGTCAGCTGAATCATGAGCCCCAGGATGGTGTTGTGCATTTTGATCTTGGTGCCGAAGCTTTGACGAAGATACATCGTGCGTTCTTCTAAGCCTTGGGCGCAGGAATAGACCATGGTGCCCAGCCTTCAGATTGATCAGATGTGAGCACACCAACACGGCCCATACTGTACTGATATTGACGCTGTGGCGTATCTGCCAACTCCCTTGCCTAGTCTTGATCCCGCTTGCTCTCGGTCAGGTTTGGTGGAAGCTAGCTCGACCCACACAACTGGCTGACCTAATCGTTTCTGTGAAGTGTCCAGATCTGGGCCCTGGGCAGTATTAGACTCATATTTCGGCTTGTATGGCCCGTGCTCAAAGAGATCAAGACCTGTGTGCATTTGGCCGAGCAGCAGCGGCGAAGAGAAACATGGCAGCGAGAGCCGAAGCAGCGGGAGGCACAGAAGCAAGAGGCGGAGCTGCGGAAGAGCACAGCACGTGAGGAGTCCAAAAGGTCAGCAAAGACACAGTCGACAACCACGTCTCAGAACGAAGGAGGCCAACATCGGCATTACAAAACGCCTTCCTCATGTCAACATATGAGGTGGTGGAATCGCAAATTCCATCAAAGAGCTTGTGGGTCATGCCGCCGTCATATGCATTATTACACTTTTCGTTGCCCTGGCTGCAAGATTGTTGCGTGTGCTGGCTGTCGTGACCTTCTCAGGCAGGCGTAGGCAAGAAGTCAGGTGATCGAAGCGGTTAGGGGTTTGAGATTTACTAACCATAACACCATATCGATAGTTTTACAGTATGAGGGAGAGGAGAGTACTTCGTTACAGCATTGCATTATGTCTGGTATAACATCGCAGAACGACCACCGCAAAGCACGCATAACTCGTTGCAGCGCTACCATATGGACGACAGATAAGTGATCCTGGAGGGCACGGGTTCATTGCACCAGAGGCCTCCAGTAGACTGCCCTTTTTATTGGTTCGCAGCTGTCTCTTGCTGCGCTCCGCAGCAGCGGGAAGACTAGTCTGAGCTGCTGCCTGGCCGTCCGTCTTCGAACCTCCCCCACTTCTTCGGCGCATTCATTTGATACTCTTGCAAGATCTTCGCAACATTCTCAGCTCATTTTGAAATGCTTGACCCTTTCGGAATTATCGGTGTTGTTGTCGTGGCCGGCCAGATCATCTCGACCGTCGCCAATTTCGGGCTGGACTGGAAACACGCCCCAGCTGATACCAAGTCCCTCCTGGTCGCGGTTGGGGCTCTGAAAACGGTGCTTTCCGAGACGAATATGAATATTCTTCTCAACGATGACTTTAAGGATGTCTTCCACGGTCGGCATTCCACGCTCCTTTCGCAGCTTGGAGATACCGTGCCGGTCACAGACACCAGCATGCTGGTATCAGCATGCAAGAAAGAGCTAGAGATCCTCCTCGAGGACTTGCAGAAGCGAGTCCAGGGTCATCGAATTGGCTGGAAAAGGATGAAAGGAGCATTCCTAGCGAAGAAGACTAAAGAAGCGGTCCAAAACCTTCATCGACAATGTCAAACCTTGAACACATTGATGGATATGGATGCCCTTGCAATCGGTGTAAGCATCCACAAGGAAGTCAGAGAGGCAAGAAGAGAACAGCAGGGTTAGCATGCAGACAAGGAGTGCAAGGCCATCATCGATTGGCTCACTATGATTGATTATGGCCCTAAGCAGAGCGATTTCATTGCAAGGAGGCAAGGAGGCACTGGACAGTGGCTTCTGAGCTCGATGGAATATAGGGAATGGAGCGAGACTGCGGACCAGACTCTATTCTGTCCGGGAATCCCTGGAGCCGGGAAGACGATTATCACATCGATCGTGGTTGACGACCTTTGCACACGATATAGGAGCAATGAGCATGTTGGCATTGCATATATTTATTGCGACTTCCAGCGGCAACAGGAGCAAAAGGTTGAAGAACTCCTCATGAGTCTACTAAAGCAGCTGACGCAAGGCCGGTCATCATTGCCGGAGTGCGTGAAGTTTCTCCACGATGAACACCGGCGTAAGCGGACGCGGCCGTCACTTGATGAAGTCTCGAGAACCCTCCGTCATGTTGCAGATTCTTACTCGAGAACTTTCATCATCGTTGATGCACTTGACGAATGCCAACGAAACGACGGCTGTCGCGCGAGATTCTTAACCGAGCTTTTCAATCTCCAGGCCGAATGCGGAGCAAACATTTTCGCAACTTCCAGGTGTATCCCAGAAATTACTGACAGATTCAGTGCCAGCACAATATTGGAAATTCGTGCCAATGACGAGGACGTGCGCAGGTATCTAGACGGCCGAATACTGCAATCCGGACGGACATTGCTAGAAAAATGCCGTGAGGAGATTAGGAATGAGATCACGGAGGTTTCTGATGGAATGTAAGCGTTTCAGTACTCTCCTAACAAGCCGCATGATTGAATTTGCTAGGTTCCTCCTTGCGCAGCTTCATTTCGAATCCGTCAGCAAAAAGAGAACAACTCGGAGTATAAAAGACGCATTAAAAAGTCTCCTGACGGGACCAGAGGCGTACAATCATGTTTACAAAGAAGCTTGGATGCGGATCACCGAATCTGATACCGAGTCGCAGGACCTGGCGAAGAAGGTTCTCTCATGGATCACGTGTGCAAAAAGACAACTCACAACGTCGGAAATCCAACATGCACTGGCTATACAAGAGGGTGACTCTGAACTTGAAGAAGAGGGTATCCCATCGGTCGAGGACGTGGTCTCCGTTTGTGTTGGATTGGTTGAAACCGACGAAGAGAGCAGCATCATCCGATTAGTTCATCGCACAGCGCAAGAGTACTTCCAGCGGATTTTTCCAAATGTGGAGACCGACATCGCTAAAGTCTGCCTTACCTATCTTTCATTTGACAACTTTAGGAACGGATTCTGTCTGACAGGGCAAGACATACGAGACCAGCAGCTGTTGGATCCGTTCTTCGAATACGCCGCACAAAATTGGGTCCTCCACGCTCGCTCCGCCTCACCTGACGTACATCCGCTTATTTCTACTTTTTTGTCATCTGGGTCAAAGGTTCCAAGTAGTTGTCTGCTCTGGGCGGTGAAGAACCAGCAAGAGCTCATCGCAGAATGGCTGTTAGAACGACGCGTCGACACGAATATCCGCGACGCCGATTGGAAGACCCCATTGCATCATGCTGTTATTCACGGCTGGACAAGATGTGTTCAGCTCCTCCTAAGCTATGAAGCGACCAAACTGTCAAATATGACCACGGATATCAACAACATGACCCCCATTCACTACACTGTCGCAAAAGCAAACGAAGAAATTGCGCAGGTCTTCCTCGATGCTGGGGTATCAGTCGACAGTCTAGTGAAAAGGAGGATCTGGCTGGCGACATGCCAAGATGGCAAGCTCACCTATGCACCAAATAGCAATCTACATTGCTCCCAGGGTGGGTTCAACGCTCCGCAAGGGCTCACAGCTTTGCACTATGCGGCCTTGACAGGGAGTGCTCAGATGACAAGATATTTCCTCGACCACGGTGCCAACCCAAATGCGGTCTCCGAGTGCGGCGAAACGCCTCTGCATCTCGCAGTTAGGCAAGACATCTACGATTGGAAGCGGCCCTTTGGCAAACGAGACCGTTAGAATAGTCCAGACTTTAGAATCGAAGTTTTGCTTGATTTGATAGATCATGGCACTGATGACGAGGAAGAATACTCCAAGATAATGGGTATGATCAACAAGCATAGGGTCGACATTATCGATGCTCTCCTCAACCACCCGGAAATCGACGTAAATACCAGAGATACACATGGCGCGTCTCTCCTGCACTGCATTCCTTATGGGAATTGGCGGTCTCAATCTATCCTCGAGAGGCTGCTTGAGAAAAATATCAAAAAATCCGAACGTGATTCGAAGGGTCGGACGCCACTGCATCTGGCCTGTTTGGCGAGAGATGTGAAGTCTATTACGGCTCTAATTAGACATGGCGCAAGTGTAATGGACCTGGACGAAGGCGGACTCAACACGCTCCACTGCGCAGCACGGAGTGGAGACGGGGAAACCATCCAAGTTCTGCTTGACTTTGTCACGGACGGAAATTCCATGATACTTGCGACTGCGAGAGATAAGCATGATCGAAATGCACTACATCACCTACTTGGTAGGCACGATGGCGTTAGCATAGACGCCGTTCGGTCTCTCTTGTCGAGCAGCGTCGGCATCAACGACCTTGATGACCGTGGTTACTCGCCGCTAGCGGTATACCTAGCCAAATCCTCCTTCCCATTAGAAAAGGCGCAAGTAGTGCGACTTCTCTTTGAACGAGGCGCTGACGCTTCGTTCACCAGTCCTAAGGCAGGTTTTACACTGGGCCATCTATCTGCCAAATCCTATCGACTTGATGGAGAACTCCTCTCCGTTTTGGCGAGCTCTGGCGTGGCGAGCTCTGGCGTGGATCTCCACATGAAAGATGCCGCAGGCCGCACGGTTTTGCACCGCGCAGCGATGGCAGGTTCTCTTACCGAGGACGCCTTGGAATTTCTTTACAATGACATGGGTCTATCAAGAGGCTCCCGCGACAGTCTCGGGCTAACACCATTGGATCACGCGATTGAGATGAGAAAAGAAAACCGTCATCGAGACACGTTTGATCGAGACCGGTGGTTAAGAACAGAGGAGATCTTACGTCACCGCTAGATAGCACTGTAGCTGTATTCAAAGTAACCAGCCCTGGACAAGTTGGGTATCAAGCTTGCCTTTGAGGGTTATCTGGCGAGGGCTTGACTATATTGCCCGATGAAATAGACACTTTGCTATCGCCATCATCTGGTAGAGCGGTGGCTGGCGTTCTCTCAATCCTCTCACAACTGCCCTACCTGTCCGGCGAAGTTATGAGTCCGGTGGTTGGAAGGGAGGTTCATTATGGAAAAGCTGGAAGGAACGCCGCGAAACGAAGCGAATCTGTTTCCAAGCAACCCCCTAGCCATGCGTCGGGTAGATAGGACTGGCTTGTTTCTCTATAGGTCTGAAATATCCTTCACCCATTTCGACTGGTCAATGTACAGTTTTTACTTGCCATACAACGGCGGCTTCTGACAACTCCAGGCTTCTGACAGCTCCAATATTGCTTGGCCACATCCCAAAAAGAATGCCCTTCATCGTTTTCCCCACTCCGTAACCAATGGCTCTCTCATCTCGCATCTCGATTCGTTCACCGGCGACGGGACTATACCCTCTCGAAATTTGAGTTTGATTGAAGTGCCAGAAGCCCCATGTAACTTGAAGCCTCCCTCATGAAGTCAACAATCCACGCCTCTGAGCTCCTCTACAGTGTCTGGATTGGTGCTGAAGTGCGGCCATGTGACGTCGGAACAATTGGATCTAGGGCTGCGGCTCTTCTGCGACGGTCGAGCGATGCGGGAGGAGACCACGCTGCTTCGCCAAATCTGTAGCTGTGGTGGAGTTGTCTGATACGATCTATGTAAGATAGCGGTGAAGGATTACACCGCAAAGGCTTTGGTACCCTCTGCCACCGCTGTCGAGGAGTGCCGTTGAAATTTCGCTGAGTGGATTACGTGGATGAACTACATCGGCAGACCGTCGCCTTCTCTGGAACGAGACGGCAAGAAAGGAATTGCCGGCTCTATCGTACTTCAGGGTTGTACATAGATATTTGCTTACTCGCGAGCAAATTGTATCAGGTCTGACTGTCTTAACCCCTTCCTGCCTATTCGCACTCAAATTCCTGCAATGTCTGATTCACTTTTTCCGAGTTCGTGACAGACGCTATATTTGGCTTTGTGGTACTAAGTTCCCCTTCGTTCTTTTCTTAAGTCTCGGAGAGCCTCCTTCTGACAGCTTTACCTTTGCTTGATCTTCGACCTTCATTAACGGGCTCTTGAATGTACCAGTCTTACCTGGTCTCGGTAGTTTTCTTAAGTTGGTTTCAACAGCACACGTCTTGGTCCGCGCCTTCTTCCTTCCCGTTCTCTCATTTCCCTCCTGTTCTTTCACTTTTTTACACTTCTTCTTCCTCTCTTTCTTACCCTTCGTGTCGTCGAGCACTCGTGACGTATCTTTCAATGGTTTGCTATCACCACAGTTCTTTGTCGCTAAAGGTGTTTTGCATCCCGGTAAGGCACCCCCAGGAACAGTGTTGTTATGGCTCACCTGTACCTTCCATTAGCGGTATAGTGCGGAAGATCACCCGGGAAGACTCAACCTGTGAGGCCTTGATCTGCCTCCAGCGAGTGTTAGCCACACTCAGCCTCCCAAACCTTTCCTTCCATACCTCGGCCTCATCCACTGGCCACATTTGGTAGGCGAAGTCAGCAGCTTCGGGTACGGCCGGATGGACTACTTCAATCCGCCGCACATTGCAACCCCCAGTCTTCCCTGTGATAATAGGCTCCTCAATCGTCTGATAAAAGGTTGCCCCGAAAGGGTTGAATCTGACCGGCGGTGGATGCAACAGCACCGTGACCACATCGCAACCAGAAATATACCAAGCGAAGGCGGCCGATGCTCCGTGGACATACTTTGACCATGCTTTTTTTGTTTTACGGTGCTGAAGGCATTGTGGATGCTTGGGGTTCATCAATGGGCCCATTGCCGTCGTCAACGTCTGCATGTGATGATCGTCGGCCCACCTTTGTGCCTGGCTTTGGTCCATCCCACTCCACAAGACCTGTCGACGCCGGGGGCAAGCCTGTTGAAATTGCCGACGAACCTGTGCTTCCTCCTCAGACGTGAGATACTGCCGCAAGACCTTCTCAACATCTGGTGGAGGCTGCCGTTCCCTATTGAGGGTTTTGTGCGGGCCAATCGGCCAATTTGTTGATGGACCAGCCATGCCTGTGGCATTCCGAATCACGAAAGAAATGCAAGACCACCTGCGAACGATGAGGATTCGCTAGCTTTATAGCGAAGCGTGGTAACACACTAGAGCCATCTATCACTATCACCCTACTAGTTGTATTAGCTCCCTAATTGATACGTCAACGTGACGTCACCATGGCACTCTCTTCCCTCTACATAAAAAGATTTTCTGCGTCAAGTAGCTTTTGGCTAAAAAGGCACTATTGAGTATTGAGTATTGATACAGTATGGCCGCTTCTTGTGTTTTGTGGTCTCATTCGTATCCTACCTCTCGCTCAGCTTCTCGTGGGGTGTGTTGTGTCCAAGTTGCTCAGTGACTTAAGTCGAGCGAG